ATCTGACTGATTGTTGTTCTGATTGTACAGGGAAGGCGAGAATGCCAAGTTGTTAAACGTTTGCTTAAGACCAAAGAAACTAGGTTCGAATTCCCACATGGGTACAAATATAAAGCTTGTTTCTTGTGTAAACCGCCATGGAAGTTTACTCACTCACTCACTCACTCACTTATACACCCACTCACTCATACACCCACTTACTCATAGTCATACACCCACTCACTCACTGTGCAGAATTCTCATCTCATGATGTTGATCACTAGATTGTCAGGTCCAGAATTGCCTAGTTATGTAATTTACAGACTGCCTCCATATAGCTGGAATATTGCTCAGTCTGGCTTGAAACAAAAAAACTGAAACAACAACAGATTTGAATTTGTTACAATTAGTCTGCTTTTACACAATCTTTAGAAAAATTTTTTTAATCTTAGAATTTCAAGCCCATTTTTATGGAAACAGTAACTGATGGGCTACGAATGCCTTGTTTACCAGTGATTCATATATTCTGGAATATTCCATGTAAGCTATGAATCTAACATTTCCAACAAAATCAATACTTATCCTCCACAATCTGCGTCCATATTTACCATATTAATTAACTTTACCTACTCTACATACAGTGCATCACAATATCACAAACATTACACAGAGAACATAGCTGGTGTTGCATATATGTATATACCTGTGCTTGACAGGTGGAACAGTAGCCATGGTAACCACGCTGGGAAGTGTTATAAAATAAATCTCATCAGCTTTGTTTGAGGCAGCCTGGTAATGTGAAAACTATTATCCAATGGAGTTGTGTATCATGGCCAAAGTGGCGAGACTATATATCCCAATGACAATGACTTAAATATGAATAATTTCCTTCTTGGCGATTCAAGGTTGAGTAGCCTTGAAAACCACCTTTTTATAATAACCAAGTGTTATATTCAAAATTGTCATTACAATAAGACTATTCCCATATTTACCCATTTATTACCGCTAATAAAATAGAATCACAACATAGAGAAATTCATTTCTGGAGACAAGACCACATTTGCAGAAAAATGGTCCCCTTTACAAATATAGATGGAAGCAAACAAATGTTTGATCATACCATCCTTTCTCTCCTCTATTTTTCTTTGTACTTTATGCATACACCCACTAATCATGTCCTCTCCCATTTATTCCGCAGCTTGAATATATGTATTCTTTGTATTATCCAGCTGTATGAATATTGTATCACTTGCTATCGCAATTAAAAACAAAACAAAAAAACAACAACAAACATTACACAGAGTATATAGTTCCTGTTGCATACATGTATAAACCTATGCTTGACAGGTGGAACCAGACTGGGAAGTGTTATAACATAGATCTCATCAGTTTTGTTTGAGGCAGCCTGGGAATGTGAAAACTATTATCCAATAGAGTTGTGTATCATGTCCTAAGTGGCGAGACGATATATCCCGATACCAGTTTAATCAGGCGAGACGATATATCATGCAAGTATTGGCAAGGAACATGCGAGACAATTATCATCACGATACAATGGTGGCGATACGATACAACCAAAACACATTTCAGTTACTTGAAGACAAGTATTCTACAGTTCACAGAATTTGAAAAATGTTCACGATTATACACCAACTCCTTTGTTTATGTAACAAAGATAACAGATACAAACAATTTCTAATTCATTATAGTTTTCGTAGTAAATTACGTAAGTAGTATCAGGATGAATTGTCTCTTGTGGCGATACATCGATGTATTATGGACCCTCGCGATATTAATATTCTGATGTATTGCCTAAATGTGTTGTGTATCGATGCACTCGAATTGCGCAGTTGATGTTGCAAACATCGATACTATTGATGAAGCGTTACACCACTAGTATCCAAGTACGTTTGTACATACATTGTTTATAATGTTTCTTCTGGGATCTTGGCACTGTATCACTGTAGCATGTGTGGTGTAGTTTTGACTGGGCACAATAAATGAAATAACACTTATACTATGCATAAGAAAAATACGATATTACCTGGCTTATATTCTGTCTGTAATGTACAACAAATATATAACTTTCGTGCCATTTAAGATGATTTGTTGCTTTCGAATGTGTATTTATTTACCATATTATCGGTATGATTTTGTAGCAAATGGACTGTAGTTTTGACTGGGCACAATGCACGAAATAACAGTTATACTATGTATTAGTGTTGGGATTTGGTTCAAATCTCATAACTGATGATTGGTTCATTACCACCGATCAATCATCGAAAATAATTGGTTAGCGTCATTTATGAAAGTTGTTAATGCACATACAAGTAAGGAAGAAAAAATGTAGTTCTTTTAGGGTTTGTTTGGCAAAATTTCACATCTTTAAAGGATGACTGGTATGTTGGGAACATAAATTTCTTGGAATCTTTATGACTTGAAACGAGCTAGCAGTGCTAACGAAGTGTAACAGACAAAACCAACCATGTGAAAAATATTGTTAATGAAAACAAATGTTCCAGAATTGTTTGTGTTCGACTACGAGAAATTATGATCGATTGCTTGGTCGTTTAGTCACTTCGACCAGTCTTCAATTATTTCAATTAATCGGACCACCGCTACTATGCATAAGAAATGTATGATATTACCTGGCTTTTAAGTTATATTCTGTGTTGTGTATAAGAAATGAATAACTTTCATTCCATTTAAGACGATTTGTTGATTTTGAATTAATATTTATTTGCTAGTTCATCAGTGCGATTTTGTAGCAAATGGACTGTAGTTTTGACTGGGCACAATACATGAAGTAACAGTTATACTATGTATAAGAAAAATAGAATATTACCGTGTTTTGTATAACAAATGAATAACTTTCATGCCATTTAAGGCGATTTATTGCTTATAAATGTTTATGTATTTGCCATTTCATAGGTGTGATTTTGTAGCAAACGGACTAGTTTTATAACAGATATACTATGGACAAGAGAAGTATGAGATTCCCTTGCTTAAATTCCATGTTATGTATAACGTAGGGTGAGTGAGTCATTCATGGCCCCGAAGACCCGCATTATGACAAAGACTGACTGTATTTAGTTTGTACAAACAATTCTCCAATGGGCTTTGTACTACTTACCTTAAATTTTGGCTGGATTCTCAGCAGGAACAGCATCAAAGGACACAATGATCATGATGATTTACCTTGCACCATGTACATGTTGTAAGGTGTCAACTGTCGTCCAATATCTTGAACAACAGCTCTTCAAACAGATGCCACAAGATAGCAATGCAGAGAGCCTAAAACACATCCTGTTATTGCCTGTTTGAACAACATACAGCCTGGATTGTGTGCAGAAAAAGCCTAAAAACACATCCTTTTATGGCCTGTTTGAACAGCAACATACAGCCTGGATAGTGTGCAGAAAAAGCCTAAAAACACATCCTGTTATTGCCTGTTTGAACAACAACATACAGCCTGGATTGCCTGCAGAAAAAGCCTAAAAACACATCCTGTTATGGCCTGTTTGAACAACAACATACAGCCTGGATTGCCTGCAGAAAAAGCCTAAAAACACATCCTGTTATGGCCTGTTTGAACATTGCCTGCAGAAAAAAGCAACATATCCTGTTATTGCCTGTTTGAACAACATTGCCTGGATGCAGAAAAAAAGCCTGAAAACACATCCTGTTATTGCCTGTTTGAACAACAACATACAGCCTGGATTGCCTGCAGAAAAAGCCTAAAAACACATCCTGTTATGGCCTGTTTGAACAACAACATACAGCCTGTATTGCCTGCAGAAAGAGCCTAAAAACACATCCTGTTATTGCCTGTTTGAACAACAACATACATCCTGTATTGCCTGCAGAAAGAACCTATAACACACCCTGTTATTGCCTGTTTGAACAACAACATACAGCCTGGATTGCCTGCAGAAAAAGCCTAAAAACACATCCTGTTATTGCCTGTTTGAACAATAACAGTATACAGCCTGGATTGCCTACAGGAAGAGCTGAAAAATATGTTACTTTTTTACCTTCTGTTATACTAATTTGAACAACAGCATCTACTCTGGGGGCCAGTAGATGGCCCATAAAAACAGAGCATGAAAAACATGATTTTACATTACTTCAAGAGCATATTCTGAAAATATGATCCAATATTTAAACAACGGCATGCATCCTGGATTGCTTTTGAAAAGAGTTTAAAACAAGTTACTTTTTACCTTCTGTTACATGTTGTACAAGTATAATCCAATATTTTAAGCAACAGCATACACTTGACTGCTAAGGGAAAAAGAGCAGATGCTTCGATTTTACCTTCTGTCATTACAATGATTAACATAATGGAAAAAATAATCCAATATTTTGAACACCTGCATATAACTGGCCTGCCAACAGCAAGAACATTCAAGGACTTTATTTTTCAAGTCACATGATGTGCGATGTTGGAATATTGTAAAAATGTAATCCACTATTTGGACCCCTCGCATGTACTGCCCACAGCAAGAGCATTCAAGGACATTACTTTTTAACTCACCTCATATACCATGTTTAAATAATGAAAAAATGTAATCCTTGAAAATGGGCAGGCTCACATGAAGTTTACAGCCATGTGGTAAACACCTTCCTTGTGTTGTGATTGTGTGTGGTGCCTTCAGTTTCATGGGCGGCACAGCTTGGAGGTTTGACGTGGGTCTCGGATATTGATGGCTATAAACATGAAGGACAGCCTGTTGAGATATCAGATCCTGCTTGTATGGATGACGACAGACAAGCTGTGATTGCCAAGGTGGCCTTAATTCAGATGGATTACTGATTGGACTGAACAGAGAGGTGGTACACTCACCTGAATTTCTTGTTGTTGATTCTTATTCTCCTGCTAATCTTGAACGGTTCTACAGACAACTTAATCAATGATGATGCTCAAGAAGATCTCTTACACTGATGTTCCATGGAATATTTTCTGATTGATTTGTGTAATTTGTCTGAACCTAAAAATCCTGAACTGTGAATCCCTAACAAGCAGAAGACATGTTATGATCATCATGATCATGAACATTTGACTTCTTGGCTTCTTCAAGTCATCGTTTTCATTTGTATGTGACCCAATGTTCACACCCACTACACTGACTTCTCCAATGGCAAATCTTCCGCTACTGGACAGGGAGGATGAGAGGAGGACTCTCCTTGGTCCGGAGGATATGCAGAACCTCGAGATCTACATTGAGGTGTGGACAGGTTTTTGAAAATGTATCCAAGCATAGTGCAAGGAGACTTTCCTTGAATTACATGTCTTAGCGTTGATGGTAGTGATGTCAGATCATGTGGCCATTCTGGCAACGGGGAAAGTAATGGCTTGTGTGTAGCACTGCTGCATGGTTAGACTAGGTCCCTAGCAACCATTGCTTACTGTGAGAGGTGACTTACTTGATTGGTACTTTAGCTCGGTGATTTTGCTGTGTGTGAAAACAGCACATTGGTATCAAGTGTTCCTTGTAATATCAGTCACAGGTTTGTCTGGTCCAGACTTGTTTATTTAACGGTCGCTCTCATAAAGTTTGTTTGTTTGGTGTTTTACACCACACTCGGTAGTATCCCAGCTATATGGCGGCAGTCTGTAAATAATCGTGTCTGGACCAGACAATCCAATGATTGATATGAGCATTGATCTACTCAGCTGGGATATGATAACATGTGTCAACGAAGTCAATCTCCCAATTGCGTAGATTGATGCTAATGCTGTTGATAACGGATTGTCTGGTCCAGGCTTGATTGTTTACAGTCCGCCGCCATAGAGCTGGAATATTGCTGAGGGTGGCATTAAACAACAAACCAACCAACCAACCAATCCTCTGTCATACTGCTGGAGTATTGCTAAGAGCAGAGTCAAACCCACCTCACTCACTCCTACATTAGGAAGCCTGTCATTGGTGGATGTTGTGTTTCAGTTCCAGATCTGCCGGCGGAAGCTGGAGAGCAAGAACGAGGCGCTGATGATCCTGAAGAAGGAGATGGATGAGTGCCGGAGTGAGCGCGACCAGTTCAAGCTGATGGCCGAGCAGCTCCGGGAACGCTACCAGGCATTCAAGAAACAGCTTGTGGGATCAGTGAGTGTCTTGAAGCTTTGTTCATTGTTGTTCGAGGACGGTTGGGTGGCCTAATGGTTATGGCGTTTGCTCCACCATGCCAAAGGTCCAGGTTCCATTCCCCACATGGGCACATTTCATTGTTCACGTTTCAGGGTAGGTGTCCAAATTAGTATGTTTCATTCATGATGATGGATTGTGGTTATCAGGGCAGTGACATTCTGTGTCACAAATATTCAGTCAGGAGTTGATATATTAATCGTTATATTCAGTGAAACGAATTACATTCTTTGACATGTTTTGACCCTGTTGACATTTAGCATGACAGTGACCAGTCAAATTAAATGCATACAATTGCTGTCTATTATCCTGCCTGGCTTGGATAAATTCCATTTTGCATATCTTGCTTTCAAAAATTTCAATTGTAACATTACTATCGACTATCTAACTCTAACCTATCTTAGAAAAGAACCACTTCTTGAATTCAATGAATGTGAACTTTTGTATATGTTGACCTGGAATGAAGCTGGTAACATTCAGTCACATTCATATACTTGGAATATTGTTGACTGTGGCATTAAAGAACAACCAAAAGACATATAACATGTTTCAAAATAATGTGAACAAGACCTGGAGTAAAGGCCTGTTGCTATTGATAGTTGCCCTAGACCTTTAGAGTTGTGTTGCAAAGTATATTTGGAGGCAGTGTGCAAAATAGTTTCCAAATTTTGAAAGTTAATAGCCCACAAAATAATTCACTAGCCTGAAATCTGAATGTAGAAACTGAGCAAAAGATTACAAAAATAGATTAGAGAGAATAAGATATTGTCGCCATAACATGGGTTTCATCATTAAGCTGCTGATATGATGACCAGTTTTGTCAGACCATAATCTTGATGATTTAAAAGTTTAATATAAATTAACAAGTCGGAGAGAGTGGAGATTTACTGGCCCGACTGAATGTTTACTTGCCACGGGCTAGCGGGCCAGTGGCTATTTCGCACACTGTTTGGAGGAAGAAACAAAAGCTAATTAGGTGAGGAATGTTTCGAGAGCTGATGACTTATTGTTAGAGCTCTCAAGTGTATAACGATCTGGTGGTTGCAATTTGACTTGTGTCAAACCAATGAAAGTTGCTCATGATATCGACCTTTGGTTTGATATGCCTAAATTTGATTATATCATATATGTAGTTATATATACAATAAGACTACAGTATATACTAATATTCCCACACATGTATACCTCTGTGTCACACTATTTATTTCATCGATACAGTCTCCAGCCGGCCTTGCCAACAACCACCACGACGCAGGTTACTACATGGACATGCAGAATCAGGTACTTGTGTACTCATGTAGCTTCAGTCTGTGCTAAATGGGAGGTGTCGTATTGGATAAACATTCACTCATTAAGACAAAGACCCGGGTTCGATTCCCCACATGGGTACAATGTGTGAAACCCATTTCTGGTGTCCCCTGCCGTGTTATTGCCTAAATATTGCTAAAAGCGGCTAAAACCCAACCCAACTCACTCACTGTGCCAAACATTGATCAGTCTACAATATCTAACTTGTATCGTGGAGTTGACAATCTCGAATAAACGTTGATCAGTCTACAATATCTAACTTGTATCGTGGAGTTGACAATCTGGAATAAACGTTGATCAGTCTACAATATCTAACTTGTATCGTGGAGTTGACAATCTCGAATAAACGTTGATCAGTCTACAATATCTAACTTGTATCGTGGAGTTGACAATCTCGAATAAACGTTGATCAGTCTACAATATCTAACTTGTATCTTGGAGTTGACAATCTCGAATAAACGTTGATCAGTCTACAATATCTAACTTGTATCTTGGAGTTGACAATCTCGAATAAACGTTGATCAGTCTACAATATCTAACTTGTATCGTGGAGTTGACAATCTCGAATAAACGTTGATCAGTCTACAATATCTAACTTGTATCTTGACAATCTCGAATAAACGTTGATCAGTCTACAATATCTAACTTGTAATAAACGACAATCTGAATAAACAGTCTACAATATCTAACTTGTATCTTGGAGTTGACAATCTCGAATAAACGTTGATCAGTCTACAATATCTAACTTGTATCGTGGAGTTGACAATCTCGAATAAACGTTGATCAGTTGATTCATGCACTTTGAGCATGCTCTTACTTAATCTTGTTTTTGTTGCATGTTGATCAGATTGTGTTGTTGATGGGTCCATCATGTCTGGCTATAAATGTGTTGCATTATCACAGAGATACGTTCACAAAGATAAGTGAAATGCACAATTGATATGTGAAGCACTTTTACCATTGTTCTGTTGTTGGGTAATCCCATACGGTATAGGGCCCATGCTTGCCACAAAAAGTCACTTAAATAGGGGTTGATATCAATGGTTCGATGTGTTTCATATTACCTTGACTGTAATGATCAATACTCATGCTATCAAGCCAGTCTCGTCCCACCTTCACTCACTGCAGGCTGATCAGATATATGTTCCTTGTCATATTCTTGATTGCATCTGCTGACTTGGTTGACACGTGTCATCGTATCCCAATTGCTTAGATCGATGCTCTTGCTGTTGATCACTGGATTGTCTGGTCCAGTCTCAGTTATTTACAGACCGCCGCCATATAGCTGGAACATTGCTGGGTGCTGTGTAAAACTAAACTCACTCACTTGATTGCATATTGTCACATATCAGGGATAGAAATGCAACATTTATGATATTAGGTGTGCATATGTGAAAATAAGTGAGCCCATACTTTTGGAAGATCCTGTTGAACTTAAAACATGACAATGTTGTCATTTCAATTTAATGTAAATAAATCAGTAAACATCTTGGTATCCTGGAAAGAGCTGGATTTCCTGAACAGTCATGGCTGCAAGAATAGTTGCTTGTTTCATATTTCGTAAATACTCGTTAAATTAGTACCTGCATTCACACTCAGATGTCTCAAAAGTTCTTCCAATTCAGCAACAGGTAACTCTTGTTGGGCAAGGTGAAAGGCAGTAATAAATAATTAGGCAAGTCTTTCAAATTCTTTCTCACTGAGATATTTGATTCCCCAGGTTTCATTTTTTATGCAGTTTTGGCAAGCAAGCGAATGTTCATCACTTTCCATGAGTATTTCCAGTTTACTAGTTAGGAAACCTCTTTACCCAGAAACAAACCGATTTGGTTTACCATCCCTATTGACTGCACAACCAAAGTAGTATAAACCTTGCAGTAGATATAGTTTGGCACCAGTCACATTCAGTGCCATGGCATCCAAATTAAGTTCTGTTTTAATCACTTACAGATCTTGTTGAAAGAAGCCCTGATCCCTTGTCAGGAAATTGCTGCCATGCCTATGATTAACAGACTTGCCACGCCCACAATCAGCTGGTTTCCCTAATTTTAGAAAGTGAAGGAAATGAATGTCAGTTGTTCATTAACCAAGACTATTTTGTCTGTAGAGTCTGGTGAAGTTGTTGTGTGAGACGAAGGAGAACAACAAGTCGCTCCAGTTCGAGGCTGACGATCTTCGACAGAAACTGGCTGACGCACAGGGTGACATTAAGGTGAGTGTACTTGAACATGTCTCTGTGTTTCTGCTGCTGAAGAGATGACCCTAAAGATGAGGTGGACTGTGGGGTAGCCTAGTGGTTAAAGCGTTTGCTCGCATGCCGAAGACACGGGTTCGATTCCCCACATGGGTACAATGTATGAACCCCATTTCTGGTGTCCCCTGTCGTGATATTACTGGAATATTGTTGAAACTGTAAAAGCAGGGTAAAACTAAACTCACTCACTCACCTAAGATAGATATACATTATTCCATGGTTTGTGTCTGATCCATGTAAACCCTTAACAGTAATATCATCAGGATTTGAAGTCTAGTTTCTAAATTTGGGGACCTGTGAAGGTCCGTGTTAGAATATTGATCTTCAGTAACCCATGCTTGTCGTACGAGGCGACTAACGGGATCGGGTGGTCAGGCTCGCTATCTTGGTTGACACATGTCATCGGTTCCCAATTGCGCAGATCCATGCTCATGCTGTTGATCACTGGATTGTCTGGTCCGGACTCGATTATTTACAGACCGTTTCCATGTAGCTGGAATATTGCTGATTGCGGCATAAAACTAAACTCACTCAATCTAAATTTGGGATCTTCATTTAATAACATCTTTTGTAATCCATACCATACGTTGTTATGAACATCTTTTGTACATCATCATCATCATCATCATCATCATCATCATCATCATCAATATTTTTACTGGTTTTATAATGCAGGCACCCATTCCACAAAGTGATCATAGTGCTACAGTGATCGTAAGCCTGTGTAACAGTATGAGAGTTACGGTTACCTTAGCGCTAAGATCGCTTTGTAAAATGGGGCCCAGGCCCTCAAACCTGTATATACACTACATAGTACAGCTAGGGACACAGAACACCATCCTATAGTCTCTCTCTATAAAAGATTGTTACTCAAAACTTATCTTGATCTCACAAGTGAGAAGCCTGATACATTTTCTCCAACCTATAAGACTGATTTATACAACATGATAAGAATAGAGATGTTATTACCTGCCTATTGATTTCGTGAAATTGGTGCTGTCACAGATTTGTGTCGTACGTCATATGTCAACATTACCATACAATATTTCTGATGGGGCACAGATGGAAGTCAATTGATTTAGTTGATATCAATAGTTTGGTCAGGTATATAACAACAACATGTTGGAGAGTTGTTTTCATAGGGTGATAAAATGCAGTCAAGTTTTTACCTGCATAGGATTTTGTTGAATATGTCATCGCTTGACTTAGTCTGCATGTCAAGTCACAGCCAGGTTGTGAATGTTATAAATCGGTGCGGTCATCAATTATTTGTTTTTTGGGACTCATGGTGTGATTAAGACTGCACATATTGAAACAGGGCTCCAGATAATTTTTCAACATCAGGAGTACGTATTCCTTATTTTTGCAGTATAGGAGTACTTGAAAACCTTAAGAGTACAATTCGAGTACTGAATGGAATTTAATGCAGTATCAGTAATCTTGTGTTTCGTTTCATATATGCACCACAACATTGCTACTCTTGTGTAAATGGAGCAATAAACAATAAAATAATACGTTTTCAGATAAATACATCTGTAAATCATTCTGAGACCATACACCACTGGTGTGGTGCGTATCCGCTATGTTTTCTAAATTATTTCCCACCGTATCATGCATTTTTTTTAGCCATACATACGCCGATACAGCCCTTATCTGGAGCCCTGTTGAAACATATGTTATATTTGGGATTACACATTCTCAGATTACCAGATTTCTCAGATTAACTAGATTACCTGTCATCAGACTTCGCTATTTATGGAAGCTGCAGTGGCTAAGTGGGTTAAATGGCTGACTTTGTGAGTTGGCGATCAGGTGCCTGACTCTGAGAATGTGGGTTTGAATCCCAGATGGGAATCAACTTAACAAATAGTCTAGAATCTGTACTTTACTGAGAAGATGTAATCCAAAATAAAACATGTTGTATTTGATATCTTTCTCAGTGGCATTGTGTATTCATGCAAATATTGAAGCCATTTATTAAATACACTGAATGAATTAAATGTCTTCCTTCATAGTTTACACCTCCGTGTATGACATCAAGATATATCGGTAATAGCCCAAGGTCTGTCGAGAATATATTCTGGTAATCCAGAGCCTTGGATGATAGAATATCAAAATCCAATCATCACTGGACTCAGACAGATGTCACTCTCCAGGAAGTGAAAGATAGGATTCAGAAACGTGTGTTTGTCGAGTACACATTATAATCAATAAATGTGGGACCACTGTGATACATGTGGTTTTCTTTGCTCTCATCTTTCAGAGTAAAAATTGCAAGAGATTCCATGTCATTTGATTGGCTAACCAAGTACAGACTATATTATCAGATCAGTTGTAACTGAATCACAGGTAGATTAGGACAATGCAGGACAAAATGTGTACACAGCTGATAGCTATTTCTGGCTTAGTTTACTCATTGTAATATTTATCTATACACATAAAATTATGCCTTGCATTAGAGGAAATACAACGGAATGGTAAATTGTCTTTCGTGCAGTGATGTTAGATGAGTGATTTTAAATGGCAAGTTTCTTATTTTGATTTTCTATTGTTTGTTAACATTGGATGATATGGTGTACTTTTAGACTGGGCACAGTACACCGATTAACAGTTATACCATGCAGACAAGGGACGGTGGGGTAGCCTAGTGGTTAAAGCGTTTGATTGTTATGACGAAGACCCGGGTTCGATTCCCACATGAGCTTGCAATACAATAGTTCAATGTTCAAACAGTAATTGTCAACTAATGTCAAGTGTAAATGTAACGCTCAATTTGAAAAATAGATTTTAAGATATGGTGAATTTACTCAGATGTATGGAACATGTTATTTAAAGAATTTCGGCACAATCGGGCTGGCTTGCTGTAAATTTAGACCATCCATCAGAAATGTAGCCCATCTCGGGCAGTCGGACGGACCTTGTTTCATTGTCTCAGGATATATAGACAAGGAAGTATTATATAAGAAGTAAAAAAAAAATAGTTTGCACATGACAATTTAGAATTGTCATGGTTGCTATGTATTGCAATCTCTTATTTGTATAATACATGTACATGTTTTATTTGGGATTACACTTCCTCAGAAAAGTACAGTTTCTAGTACTTTTTGAGGATTGACTCCCATCCTTTAATGTCCGCAATGTTTTGTCTGTTTGTCTCTATTTCTATTGTATTTTAAGTTCACATCCCCTCAACCATGATTCTAGCCTTTATTCCAAGTATGATAAACATAAGGAGTGGCACCACATGTTACACTTGTCGCAAGCAGTTTTAAATATATGTAAAAATATGTAACAACCCACATTGTCTATAAGCTTATTTCAGCGTGTGAATGTTGTCTGATGCGTGGCTTAGACTATAGAATGCCCCCCATAGATGCAGTCAGTTTGACTCTGTCAAGGCTGAGAAATTATGTGCTATTGATATATAGGAGGTGGGGAAAATGTGGAAAGGTGTAACTTCGTCCATTATGGATAGAAACCGCTATTGATACACTAATGGCCTTAACATCTGTTACACATGTTTAATTATGAGCGTGTATGAAGGTTTTTTATTAGAATGGGAAATCGATGCATTTGTTCGCTTTGTCTTCTGAATGTGCATGAAAATGTTGATTTATGAATTTTGTCAATATCACCTTATTTTTCTTGGTAATAAATTAGCTACTAATTTCTTTGTACTTTAGATAAGCCTGTAGTGTACTTTTTGTAAGAATGTGATACACACATCAATAGTAGGGCCACCCTCAAATAGCAGGATCACGTTACCATACACTAGGCCATGATGTGATACACATCTAAAAAGCAGGATCATGTTACCATACACTAGGCCATGATGTGATACACATCTAAAAAGCAGGATCATATTACCATACACTAGGCCATGATGTGATACACATCTAAAAAGCAGGATCATGTTACCATACACTAGGCCATGATGTGATACACATCTAAAAAGCAGGATCATGTTACCATACACTAGGCCATGATGTGATGCACATCTAAATAGCAGGATCATGTTACCATACACTAGGCCATGATGTGATGCACATCTAAATAGCAGGATCATGTTACCATACACTAGGCCATGATGTGATGCACATCTAAATAGCAGGATCATGTTACCATACACTAGGCCATGATGTGATGCACATCTAAATAGTAGGATCATGTTACCATACACTAGGCCATGATGTGATGCACATCTAAATAGCAGGATCATGTTACCATACCTGGGTCATAATGTGATGCACATCTAAATAGCAGGATCATGTTTCCATACCTGGGTCATGATGTGATACACATCTAAATAGCAGGATCATGTAACCATACCTGGGTCACAATGTGATACACATCTAAATAGTAGGATCATGTTACCATACCTGGGTCATAATGTGATGCACATCTAAATAGCAGGATCATGTTACCATACCTGGGTCATAATGTGATGCACATCTAAATAGCAGGATCATGTTACCATACCTGGGTCATAATGTGATGCACATCTAAATAGCAGGATCATGTTACCATACCAGGGTCATGATGTGATACACATCTAAATAGCAGGATCATGTTACCATACCTGGGTCATAATGTGATGCACATCTAAATAGCAGGATCATGTTTCCATACCTGGGTCACAATGTGATACACATATAAATAGCAGGATCATGTTACCATACCTGGGTCATAATGTGATGCACATCTTAATAGCAGGATCATGTTTCCATACCTGGGTCATAATGTGATACACATCTAAATAGTAGGATCATGTTACCATACACTAGGCCACGATGTGATGCACATCTAAATAGCAGGATCATGTTACCATACCTGGGTCATAATGTGATACACATCTAAATAGCAGGATCATGTTACCATACCTGGGTCATGATGTGATACACATCTAAATAGCAGGATCATGTTACCATACCTGGGTCATAATGTGATGCACATCTAAATAGCAGGATCATGTTATACCTGGGTCATCATCTAAATAGCAGGATCATGTTACCATACCTGGGTCATGATGTGATGCACATCTAAATAGCAGGATCATGTTACCATACCTGGGTCATGATGTGATGCACTAAATAGCAGGATCATGTTACCATACCTGGGTCATAATGTGATGCACATCTAAATAGCAGGATCATGTTACCATACCTGGGTCATGATGTGATACACATCTAAAGGATCATGTTACCATACACTGGGCCATAATCGTGCAGGATCATGTTACCATACCTGGGTGATACACATCTAAATAGCAGGATCATGTTACATCTAAATGCACATCTATACTTGGGATCATGTTACATCTAAATAAATAGCAGGATCATGTTACCATGTGATGCACATCCTAGCAGGTCATAATGTGATGCACATCTAAATAGCAGGATCATGTTACCATACCTGGGTCATAATGTGATACACATCTAAATAGCAGGATCATGTTACATACCTGGGTCATAATGTGATGCAATAAATAGCAGGATCATGTTACATACCTGGGTCACAATGTGATACACACATCTAAATAGCAGGATCATGTTACCATATCTAAGGTCATAATGTGATGCACATCTAAATAGCAGGATCATGTTACCATACCTGGGTCATAATGTGATGCACATCTAAATAGCAGGATCATGTTACCATACCTGGGTCATAATGTGATACACATCTAAATAGCAGGATCATGTTACCATACCTGGGTCATAATGTGATGCACATCTAAATAGCAGGATCATGTTTCCATACCTGGGTCACAATGTGATACACATCTAAATAGCAGGATCATGTTACCATATCTTGGTCATAATGTGATGCACATCTAAATAGCAGGATCATGTAACCATACCTGGGTCATAATGTGATACACATCTAAATAGTAGGATCATGTTACCATACACTAGGCCATGATGTGATGCACATCTAAATAGCAGGATCATGTTACCATACCTGGGTCATAATGTGATACACATCTAAATAGTAGGATCATGTTACCATACCTGGGTATTGATGTGATACACATCTAAATAGCAGGATCATGTTACCATACCTGGGTCATAATGTGATGCACATCTAAATAGCAGGATCATGTTACCATACCTGGGTCATGATGTGATACACATCTAAATAGCAGGATCATGTTTCCATACCTGGGTCATAATGTGATGCACATCTAAATAGCAGGATCATGTTACCATACCTGGGTCATAATGTGATGCACATCTAAATAGCAGGATCATGTTTCCATACACTCAGGCTATGTGATGCATCTAAATAGCCATGTTACCATACCTGGGTCATGTGATGCACATCTAAATAGTAGGATCATGTTACCATATCTGGGTCACAATGTGATACACATATAAATAGCAGGATCATGTTACCATACACTAGGCCACGATGTGATGCACATCTAAATAGCAGGATCATGTTACCATACCTGGGTCATAATGTGATGCACATCTAAATAGCAGGATCATGTTACCATACCTGGGTCATATGTGATGCACATCTAAATAGCAGGATCATGTTACCATACCTGGGTCATACATGGGTCATGATGTGATACACATCTAAATAGCAGGATCATGTTACCATACCTGGGTCACAATGTGATACACATATAAATAGTAGGATCATGTTACCATACACTAGGCCACGATGTGATGCACATCTAAATAGCAGGATCATGTTACCATACACTAGGCCACGATGTGATGCACATCTAAATAGCAGGATCATGTTACCATACCTGGGTCATAATGTGATGCACATCTAAATAGCAGGATCATGTTACCATACCTGGGTCATGATGTGATACACATCTAAATAGCAGGATCACGTAACCATACCTGGGTCATAATGTGATACACATCTGAAAAGGGGGATCATGTTTCCATACACTAGGCGGGTTGTGATACACATCTAAATAGCAGGATCATGTTACCATACCTGGGTCATAATGTGGTGCACATCTAAATAGCAGGATCATGTTTCCATACACTAGGCAACGATGTGATGCACATCTAAATAGTAGGATCATGTTACCATACACTAGGCCATGATGTGATGCACATCTAAATAGCAGGATCATGTTACCATACCTGGGTCATAATGTGATACACATCTAAATAGTAGGATCATGTTACCATACCTGGGTCATAATGTGATGCACATCTAAATAGCAGGATCATGTTATCATACCTGGGTCATAATGTGATGCACATCTAAATAGCAGGATCATGTTACCATACACTAGGCCATGATGTGATGCACATCTAAATAGCAGGATCATGTTACCATACCTGGGTCATAATGTGATGCACATCTAAATAGCAGGATCATGTTACCACACTGGGCCTTGATGTGATTCACATCTAAATAGCAGGATCATGTTACCATCCACTAGGTCATAATGTGATGCACATCTAAATAGCAGGATCAGGTTACCATACCTGGGTCATAAATAATGTGATCACATCTAAATAGCAGGATCATGTTACCATACCAGGGTCATGATGTGATACACATATAAATAGCAGGATCATGTTTCCATACCTGGGTCATAATGTGATGCAGACCTAAATAGTAGGATCACGTTATCATACACTACTAACTTGTTTTTTACTGATTACAGTGTACGATAACATTCGCTCACTAACCCTGATTGTTATTATCCCCAGCAACAACGAAGTTGCAGGGAATATAGAAACGAGTTCTGTCCGTCCGTGCGTCCATCACACTCTGTCCGAAGCATATCTCCTAAACTATTTGTGATAGCTTAACCAAACTTGGTACACATGTCAACCATGGCCCCTAGATGTGCCTTTTGGGGGTTAGACCCAGATTTTTTTGTGGTTTCCATGGAAACGTGACTTAGGCTGTGGCTATGAGGATGTGATCTTGTCCAGAGCAGATCTCCTAAACTATACATGCTAGCTTCATCAAACTTGGTACACATATAAAACATGATCCCTAGATATGCCTTTTGGGGGTTAGACCCAGACATGAATTATATTTTTATCCCCCGCAACGCGTTTTGCGGGGGGTATTAAAATGGACTCCGATCGTCGTATGTCGCAAGTGCGGCGCGTCCGTGGCGTCAGGTAACATTTGTCTTTTCCCGAGCAGAACTCGTTCACTATTTCTTCACCAAACTTGGCACATAGATAGATCTGGTGGTGTACTGGTGCCTTTTGGTAGTTTTGAAATTCTAAATTTGTCTTTCCATGGCAGCAGAACTCTAAATTAGTGGTAGTGCAAAACCGTTCATTATTTCTTCACCAAACTTGGCACATAGATAGATCTGGTGGTGTACTGGTGCCTTTTGGTAGTTTTGGAATCTTGAATAAAATATTTTTGGCGTTTCCATGGCAACAAGTTTGACATAGACTGAAATTGGTGATAGTGCTCCTTTCTGGAGCAGAACTTTAAAAACCTTTCAATACTCTCCTTCCACTTTTCTATATACACACCTAAATATTTGACATAATCATAACTCGTAGACATAATCATGAAGAGTATTTTGCCATTGCGGGGGATATTGATGACTTTGTCTTCTTGTTTGTGGTTGCCATGGAAACATGACTTAGGCTGTGGCTATGAGGATGTCATCTTGTCCAGAGCAGATCTCCCAAACTATACATGCTAGCTTTATCAAACTTAGTACACATATCAAGCATGATCCCTAGATGTGCCTTTTGGGGGTTAAACCCAGATATGAATTTTATATTTTGGTGTTCATGGAAACATGACAGCCTGTGGCTATGAGGGATGTCATCTTGTCCAGAGCAGATCTCCCAAACTATACATGCTAGCTTTATCAAACTTAGTACACATATCAAGCATGATCCCTAGATGTGCCTTTTGGGGGTTAAACCCAGACATGGACTTCATTTTTTTGTGGTTTCCATGGAAACATGACTTAGGCTGTGACTATGAGGATGTCATCTTGTTGCATTTCCATGGCAACAAGCTAGGCTTCAACTGAATTTGGTGGTAGTGCTCCTTTCTGGAGCAGATCTTAAAAACCTTTCAATACTCTCCTTCTACTTTGCTGTATACACTCCAAAGCATTTGACATAATCATAAACCAGTAGACATATTCATAAAGAGTATTTTGCCGTTGCGGGGGATATTGATGACTTTGTCTTCTTGTTTTACAGTTATTACGAGAGCAGATCGCCAGACAGAGAGTGGGCACAACCGATGAAGGGATCAACACACGACACTTCCCAGCGTACGAGAGAGAGGATCTGGTGGCTCAGCTCGAGGCAGCCAGAGAACAGGTCAGTGTGGTCTTGGCTTGGTCAGCTGAGACATCAATGATCATGAGTGTCTGCAGTTCCTTGTATAAGGGGTGCCGATGTCTTGGATAATAAAGTGCCTGAACATTATTGTAACTTGGCTACCACCTTGCCTTGGATCAAAACTTAAGAAATCTAGTATCATGTCTGTGTCAAGACATACTTTGGACGTGTATAACATGAGAAGCTTGTTTCATTCCACCATGCCAAGTTTGAAAGCCGTAAAACTAATCCAGTTTCATTCATGTAATGTGTGAAAATGTATTTCGAAATTAATGAGTGACAGATAATTCACAATTCCTCATAGGTCATATTGTCTATCTGACAGTCAGCCCACTTATGCTTATGGGCTGTGTACATTATGTTCCTATTTGAATACATATAGCCATGTCTGCTTTATCTGATGTAATAGAATGAGTTTGTAAGTCAAATGAACCTTATGAACTTTGTGAAAGACTGCCAATGTAATCTGAGCAGTCATTGACCAGAACACTTGCTGGGGCCTAAAAAAAATGTTGTGATTCTGATTAACCGACTGACCCTTGAACTCTGGTGCCGACCCTATTTTTTTTATGAATAAAATATGCATTAAGATGCCATTGATTTTTCTCTGCACCAACAGACATTGGTCATTCTGATAGAAAAAGTCGACATGATGGCCGCAAGTTTGTACTTTACTTCTAAAAAAAATGTAAAAAAAAAAAATCCTACCTACCTACCTAAATTACAAAGAGTCTGTAATCGAAACCACAACATTTTTTTTCATTTGGCCTGGTCACCCTTTTGCTTGAACCAGGCTGTATCTTGATTTGGTCAGAATAGAGACTACAGCAAAGAGAAGCTGTGTGTCATTGAGGATGATAGGGGAATAACTTGTACAAATTGATGAAGTATTGATGATGGATATGGCATGTGATGCTGTGGATTGTACAGGTCACTAGTCAGGTGAAGTAACTCAGTGTTGATCACAGAGTTGTTCTTAGTTCACCAGTTTGCTGGAATTTTTATCCCAATGCTGAAGCGTATGTGGGGCGGTGGGGTAGCCTAGTAGTTAAAGCGTTCGCTCGTCACGTCGAAGGCCTGAGTTCGATTCCCCACATGGGTACAATGTGTGAAGCCCATGTTTTGTGTCCCCTGCCATGATATTGCTGGAATATTGCTAAAACCACACTCACTCACTCACTGAAGCACATGTAGCATATTTTGGTGTCTCCTAAGGCAAGTGGATTTTACAGAAATCTATCATTGTCCGCTTAGCAATGAATGAGTACCCTGAAGGATGGAAGTATTATCTAATCCACTAATTGGGGAAATAATGAGGCCTTTGAGCATGCTTTCAGTTGTGGATTTGGTGCAATATACACATGTACTGATAGTGATTATTATTTGTTGGCAGTATGTGCAGCTTGAGAGGGATCTGCAGCAGGTGCTTGACGAGAAGGAGGAGCAGGTGACAGAGAGGGACGCCTACAAGACCAAGTACGAGCGCCTCAATACAGAACTCAACTACATCCTCAAAGGCGATGAGAAGAAAATTGTGGATATTGATGCTTTGGTTAATGAAAACAAGTAAGCTTAAAAGTATTTCTCAGTAGTTGCTGATAATTTTTTTATGGGTGGCAGTGAATGACTGAGTGGTCCTCAGTTCATCATCCCTGTCATAAAAAATCTGATTGATGGACGGGCCATGTGGTCTGTAAATACTTGGGTTGGGCAGGACAATCCAGTGATTGACATCATGAGCATCAATCTACACAAATGGGATAAGCTGACGTGTCAACCAAGTCAGCGAGCCTTACCACCAGATCCTGTTAGCTGACTCTTGCGACAAAGATGGGGTACTGAAGACCAATTCTAATTCAGGTTGTCTGGTCCAGACTCGACCGCTGCTATATGGTTGGAATATTGCTGAGTGCCGTGTTAAAGGACAAACAAAAATGACAAGTATTTCTGTTTCAACATTAACTTTCTCTTATGTCTGATGGGGCTGTGGGGTAGCCTAGTGGTTAAAGCGTTGGCTCGTCACGCCGAAGACCCTGGTTCGATTCCCCACATGGGTACAATGTGTGAAGCCCATTTCTGGTATCCCGCCATGATATTGCTGGAATATTGCTAAAAGCGGCGTAAAACCGAACTCACTCATGTCTGACCTCACTCCATCATTTTCTTTGAAGGTCCGGATTACAGTTGATCTTCAGTAACCCATGCTTGTCGTAAGAGGCGACTAACGGGATCGGATGGTCAGACTTGCTGACTGGGTTGACACACATCAGCGTATCCCAATTGCGCAGATCGATGTTCATGCTGTTGATCACTAGATTGTCTGGTCCAGACTCGATTATTTACAGACCGCCACCATATAGCTGGAATATTGCTGAGTGCGGCGTAAAAACTAAACTCACTCACTCATTTTCTTTGAGGATGTGTATCTGTGGTTGAGTAAATGTAGACTGGTGATGGTTTCTAGCATGCCGGTGACTAAATGCTAGATCCACCTGATACTGTGTTTCTTACTGTCTGCTTGTCTGGTGCAGGTATCTCCTGGAGAGGCTGAAGCAGATGGAGGAGGAGAAGACGATGGCCATGGCGACAGTCTCCAAGTACAAGGTGATGATACATAGTTAACCAGGATGACATGCTAGTGTGAGGTAGTTGACAGATGTTATTGTCAGAGTGGTGGAGTATAGTCCTGTGTACAGCACAGCTGACCAATCAGGTGCAGTTAAGGAACATTGGCTGTGGAGAGATGTTGAGATAGTGAATGTCTTCAGCAGTGGATTCCTGGTGTTTCCTAAGGCTTTAGGGCTTAGGCATATGTGACATGTTTGGGATTATACTTTCTCAGTAAAGTACAGATTTGGGTACCTTTGGTGGGTTGAGTCCCATGTTTGGTTTGTACATACATTGTCCAAGTCAGGCACCTAATCCCCAGCACACAAAGTCAGCCATCTAACCCAATCAGCCATCTAACCCACTCAGCCAGTTGTCCATTTTGTTGAAGCTGCAGGGGCTGAGTGGGTTAGATTGCTGACTTTGGATGCTGTCAGTTAGATGCCTGACTCTGAGAGTGTGGATTCGAACCCTGAATGTTACATTTGACCACTTTCTATATGGCGTTATGTATTCATAAGCACATGTTGTACATATGGGTCTCATAATAGGGAGAGTGACTTTCTTCAGAATATGTCTCTGTTCATAGGTACCCGGTAGGATGAGATGGTCATGTGCCTGTTAACCTTCTAGCACCTCAAAGCAGCTTGGGTTGTATACTCCTCAGGGAGCTGAGAATGGAAATTTAGAGTACACAGATCCATTGACTGGGGTTCTAATGTGTCAGGATGGGTCTGTTGCTTTATGAATGGATTCAGTCGTGTGTTTATGTAGACCGAATGTGTTGTAACTGAGTATTGACTTTTCTAGAGCATGCTGGAGAGGAAGAAGAACAAGGGCATCCTGAAGCTTGGTCAGAGTCGGAGTGGTGGACTGGTCATCTCACAGAAACAAGGTAGGGTTCTCATGTAATGGTACACAAGTGGTTGAGTGAGTTTAGTTTTATGCCGCACTCAGCAATATTCCAGCTATATGGTGGCGATCTGTAAATAATCGTGTCTGGACCAGACAATCCTGTGATCAACAGCATGAGCATCGATCTACGCAATTGGGAACCAATGACATGTGTCAACCAAGTCAGCAAGTCTGACCACCCGATCCCGTTAGTTGCCTCTACGACAAGCATTGGTTACTGAAGGTTCATTCTAACCCGGATCTTGACGGGTACATGGTACACAAGTATCAAGTGAATGAAACATGGACATCAATGGACAAAATGATTGATCATATTAATGGATGAATTAATGAACAGAATGCTTGATGAATTGATGGTTGAATTAATGGAGGGAGAAATCAATCGATGAATGTATGTTTAAATTGGCAGATGAATTAATGAATGAATTGATTATGGACTCATGGATCCACTAATTTCCACATGAATAATTAATTTATGAATTAACAGATGAATTGATCAATCAGTTGATGGATAAATTGATAGATTACTTAACAGATGACTTCATAGATGAATTAAATGATCGATGACTTAATAGGTGAATTAATAGATAAATCACGGTTTTACCTTGAACTACAAAACTAGGGATCGAGGGGACCCCAGTTACTAATTTTGAGGGTTCTTACAGGAAGTGTTAGAGTTTTGTGAAGTATGACAGTACTGTAGAGCAATATACTGTAAGATGTAATAATTATGTTTGTATTAAAAGGGTATTTCATATTTATTCTGGAGAATGTTTGGTACAGTGAAAACTAATCTAGTGTGTATTTATTCTGCATCCAGTCTATACATTTGTTAGTTCTGGATGCATATGGCTGTGTCTTGTTAAACGTTGATAAATTAATAGATAATTGATACATTGATTGCTGAATTATTAAGCTGTATGCTGATGTTTGATGAGGCGCATGTGTGTCCACAGTTCAGCACATCCTGCAGAGTCAGGCTGGCATCCCGGGCCACACCGCAGTCGATGGCAGACCTCCAGGGGCTGTGCAGCGCTCTGCTGGACACCATCAACGACAAGAGTCTGGCGCTGTCCCATCAACGCAAGACAAACAAGTAATGCCTCTTTATTACATAGAGTATGTTCAACGTGTGTCACAGTGGCATCTTGTTGAGAAGTTAGATTAAGGGTACAAATAATACTGCATGAAAATAGAAGGAATAGTGTATGAATGCATAATATAACATGAAGACACAAACTCGTTGTTGGACGAATAATATAGGGGCGGTGGGGTAGCCTAGTGTTTAAGGTGTTCGCTCGTCACGCCGAAGACCCGGGTTCCATTCCCCACATGGGTACAATGTGTGAAGCCCATTTCTGGTGTCCCCTGCCGTGATATTGCTGGAATATTGCTAAAAGCGGCGAAAACTGAACTCACTCACTTACTCATAAAACAATGTTCTTTTCCAACACATTTTTCTTTGTCTGTCCAGAATTCTGGGGAACCGTGTGTCTGAACTGGAGAAGAAGCTGAAGACCCTGGAGGTGGCTGGGTTGTGGAACGTCCCAGGTAATCAGGGGTTCGAGGAAGGTGCGTAGATGACAATCTGACTAGGTGGAGGCTCATTTGATAGAGCATGCCAAGTCTACTTTCACCTCCTGGATGCAGAGCCCTGGAACCCTGCTGTTTCTCCTGTCTTATACCTTTGTCTTGATGGTATTGTATTGAAGGGATGTCGGGTCAAATATTCACTTGTATGGCAAAGGGAGAAGGATTGGGCAAAGAGCTACAAATGCATTTTGTCTCACTTCCATTATATCGCATGTTTTGAAAACCTGGGTTGTTTTTTGTGTGTGTGTGTGGTATTTTTAGCATGGGAGGAAAATTATTTATGTTATTTGTCACTTTATTAAAATTAAAAATCATTAGATTTTGCTTCAGTTTTGCTTAATACTTACCATGGCACATTCTTATGCATGATTGATTTTCCATCTCCTTTTATTCATATTTTTGTAATTATCAAAATTACTTTTTGTGATACACAGTTTCATAGTGTAAACTCCAGAGATGTGTAGATCCCAAGTGTAAGGGTTGGTTATAAAACTGTACGCACTTATCGTGTCTCTCATGGCGGGATTCAGACTTGATTATTTACAGACCGCCGCCATATAGCTGGAATATTGCTCAGCATGGCATAGAACTAAACTCACTCACTCTCTTGTAAAACTAGAACTTGGAGTAAGGAGACATAACAGTTGAGATGAGATGTTAACTCTGTTTAGTAGCTAAATTGCACAGCCTGCAGAAGATGCAAGGGTTCAGTTAGATTAACTGACCTCATTCCCAGTTCCTCCTTTGGATAGTACCCGTGAAGATATGGGTTAGAATTGATTTTCAGTAACCCTTGCTTGTCGTAAGAGGCGACTAATGGGATCTGATGGTCAGGCTCCCTGACTTTGGTTGACACATGTCATTGTACCCCAATTGCGTCGACCAATGCTCATGCTGTTGATCACCGGATTGTCTGGTCCAGACTCGCTTATTTACAGGCCGCCGTCATATAGCTGGAATATTACTGAGTGTGGCGTAAAACTAAACTCACTCACTCACTCTTTTGGATAGTTGATGAACAATTATAAGTTCTTTGTCAATGTTTCAGTCGCTTAACACAATACATCGTTCAATGCTCTTAGATTTTTTCTTCTTCATTTATTATTTTTATGCTTATGTTTCTTTATCTTCTTTTAAAAAAATAATTTTCATTGTCAACAATTGTATTAAATTGATGAAACTACCTGTGATTTGTTTTTCAAATATTAGTCCATTTTCAAAATCAGGATACCAGTATTAATCAGCCATGGTATTAAACGTAACTGAAATTCGGCATAGGTGTAGCTAATAGCTGGGCCTAAACATGACAACATGTATGTTTAATTGTTTATAATGAAGCTGAAATTTTACAGGTTTTTATCATCTAAAAATGCCCACCCCAATGTCATATTACTGGAAGTTTTGTTTTGCCAGTATTGAAGAAGTCACATTTGACCAGTAACAAGGCTTTACCAAGCTTAAGGATCATGTAAATGTAAATACAGTATAGGTCGATCCAAGTTCGTTTAGGGCGTCACTATTCTCCCTGAAACATCACTGTCCTAACCAACATCGTGGAAGTACTTTTCTTTTTTTCTCCAGAATTTTTGGCACATATTCCTCTTCAACTTCCTGTAGATGTGTGTTGTGTGTCATAAATTTATTTCTGCACAAGCCATTGAGCTACAGGGATACATGGCTCTACTTTTAACACTTATCTTCAACACAGCTCACTCGATATTACAGGAACTATCCAGAGTCTTGCCAAGCTGAAAGCAGAGTGTGAGGAGATGAAAATGCTGGTTCCCCGACAGATGTCTCAATCAAGTGAGAACTCTGACCAGAGGGACATCCTAGACAGCCTGGATTCGGACATCTCTTCAGTCTCATCCACGCCCAACATTAGCCCTGCTCACAAAGGTCAGACACCAGGGGGGACAACTCTGTTAATGGAAGACCTAGACTTGCTGCCCACTAAGGAAGAATGTATTCGAATAACGGACAAAGGAGAAGTTCAGTCTCTTCTAGGTAGGTCAGAGAAAGAAAATCTTAATTATTGCTGGATTTACAATGTATTGATGTATTGAATATTTCATCAGGTACGTGTATTAAGGGATGTCTGTGAATCTTGTGATTGCTACAAATCCATGAAGATCCAGGTTAGAATTGGACTTCACCAACCCATGCTTGTTGTTAGAGGAAACTAATGGGATGGGGTTGCCTGTTATTTTTTCAGGAAAATGTCCTTTGATAAAGGCACAGAAAGCTTAGCCGAAAACAATTAGGGACTGTTCATAATCTATAGCTAGAGGGTGATGATGATTTTTATGGACAAGCATGTACAATGTAAATGACTTTCCCGATAGCCACATATTTAATTGAAATAGCAAATGGCAGTTTCTCTTTAAATTTCACGAGCATGTTAAACTGACAATTTGAACTTCAATAAAATAAGTGATATTCAGCCATACTGACTCTTTAACTGCATCATATCATGACTAAACATGGAACTGAATATATACGACTATTCTTGCAGGCGATGGAGACTGTTCCAGTTTTAACATTCAGTGCAGTGGATCTAATGAAGATACTACTGATGAAAATCCTGAAGAGAGCATTGAAGAGGAGGTAACTCTTGATGATGTCGAAGACAAAGAGACAGCTGAAAAATTGAAAACATTAATGGAAGATGTGACAGCTAAAATCAAGGAACAGTCCCATGGTGACCAAAGCTCAAGGCAGTCAGACCCTGACGAAGATTACATAGACAATTGTGAAGATCCCTTGTTGAAATCAGAAACTGTTGAAAATGGCATTGATGACAGTAAGGGAGATAACTCTGATCAATCTGCTTCCCCTACTTGTGACCAACCTTTACTTGAGGAAAATGGCAGGCAGGACAATTCAGAATCATTGCATAATGTACAAGTGTAAATCCTTTTAATGAAAGTATTGTTATTTCATGATTTAATGAATGCTAAGATTGATGTGCAATGTTACATCCTGATCAGTTCAGAGATGTGTATACATAAAGATTATTAGTTGTGTCCAGTACCGTATTTTGTGTGTGATATAATTAGTGAAAATAATCGATGACTAAGGTTGTGGCAAGTCTCTGTTTCGTGTCATCATTTGACCCTGGTAGTTTTGTGTTAAACAATGAGTGTATAGAGAATCTGTTTGTTCAGACACCCTACTTTTCTTTAGCTTACCATTAAGAATATCTGCCTATGTATCATGCACTTACCCTACCCCTCTCCCTATTTCCATCGGGGCCTAGATGTCACTTCCTGGTTTTATGCTGCTTTTAGCAATATGGTGCAAGTATCATGATGAGGGACACCAGAAATGGGCCTCATACACTTTCTTAACTTCATGTAAAATATTTTAATTTCATTGGTCAATGACGCTTTAACAAGTTTCCGTGTGACCCTTCCCAGGACTTTTACCATGGGGGTAAGATAAATACGTTGTATGCTTCTCCCTCGGGGTAATACAGTCTGATGTACGCCTTTTTGTAGCAGTGTTACCCCTCACCTACCGGCTCAGCTGACACTGCTACAAAGAGGCGTACATCGGACCATATCACCCTCGAGAGAAGCATACAACTTATATTGTAGCAATGTGGGGAATTGAACCTGGGTCTTCAGTGCAATGAGTGAATGAATTGAACACTTGGCTACCCCACCGCTGTGACATCCTGACTCCAACCCAGCATCTGAGGACATGGAGTGTCTGCATTTTAAGTTCATTGGTTGTTTGATAAAAACAGATACTTTGTTATAGGTTGTCTGCTCTGCTCTGATGATATGGACACTTGTGAATCCCCGCATTCCTTACAACATGTACAATGGTGTGGTATAAAAGGTTTCTGCTGTAGTCCAGATAAGGGGAGTTTGTTATTTTGGAACTATTGAAGATGCCATATTTTTATTTTACTGTCATTGAAATCCCAAAGTCTTGTGATATGGTTGTGTTATACATGATTGTTGTTGTTATTATAGTCTGTTTGCAGTGAAAACATGCCGATGAATTTCACTTTAAACAAAAAAAATAAATCAAATTAAGTGAAATTAAGATTGCGAATCCACACAATTTTACCTTGCCAACTGAACATTTAAATCTCAGAGTTTTATTCAACTCAGGATAAAAGTTGTTTAACAAACGATCATAATTTCAAATCGCTATTATTGGTTTGTATTACAAAGGGGTAAGCGCAGTAGATGGAACAGTGAAACAAATGCACGTGCGGTAAGTGATGAGCGTTAACTTAGACCAACCCTACTTGTTCTCGGTGTTTCAGTTAATGTGCATGCCCCCTTGTAATACAAACCAATACTAGCGATTTGAAACTATGATCGTTTGTTAAATAACTTTTATCCTAAGTTGAATAAAATTCTGAGATTTGAATGTTCAATTGGCAAGGTAAAATTATGATGATTCGCAATCTTAATTTCACTTTATTCAATTTACTTTTTTGTTTAGAGTGAAATTCATCGGTATGTTTTCACTGCAAACAGAATATATCCTGAATGAAATCTTAACAGTAGATAATCATCATTGTGCCATTGGACTATTACATCTACTCAAGAGGTTCACTGAGGTCTGGAGTTCAAGTTGAATCAATTCTAGTGATGAGGCATACATGTTTTAACAATGTGTTTGGCAGGTGGCCTGTTTTGGGTCCAAGGCACATAACATTGATTAAGGTGTTCATCTTTAATTTCAGTTAATTTCTTAAGCAGAATAATCACCATTTCCTCTGAATGGTTGCATAAATAGTAGCATATTACAATTGTTGTGTTAAGGTTGTGTATATGCATGGAACCATTCTTGATATTACTCAATCTTCTGCTTCTGTTACTTCATGCATGTTTCCTAGGTCTGTGGAAGAATTCCCATTTATTGTCTGTTTTATGGGTTTCTAACTGATTTTGTCGTCGTATCAGTGTAGGCCAATATAAAGAGATGCAGAGAGAAAGGTGACACAGCAATTGAACATTTACGCTCGTCTTCTATACCCAAACTAGTAATATTTACTCTGGACAATTGAAAATCCAATGGTTTTAGTCAGTAAGTTTTGCGAATAAATTCCAAGGCAGATGACAACTGTCTGAAGATCAGTTAACAGATTAGAAATGAGATCAAGTAATTCTGTATTTAATTTTGAAAATAACAGTCTGTGTAAAGGTGATTGGTGTTATATTCCTTAATACATTGTATTTAGTCAAGGCAAAATGTTTCTAACATGTTTTAAATACAAGGCTTTTAATAATAAAATTGGTAATTTGGATAATTGTAACTGTCAAAGGGATAAACATTTAAATGATCTAAACCAGGAAAAGCGATATATACGACTTGCTGTCACTTAGAACTAGAAAGTTTTCTTTCATTATGAAATCCCTTGAACTCTAAATCTCATCTTGCGGCAGGCAGGAGGTCACGTGAGGACGATCACAGACTGATTTCCTCAACTAAACATGCATCATATCTGTAATGGAGATTGGGTCTAATTTACCTAATATCTAGCCAGTATTATACTGTTGAGGCGTGCCAGTCATTTCTTCCATCGTTAATATGTTGAAGATGATCATTGTATGTTTTTCATTTATTTAATTTATTCTGTAACAAGGACTGCAGCTTCACAGCCGAAATCAGTGATATCTGTATTTATTGAGGACGATTGATCTCACTGTAATGTGAAGTGTGCTTATATGTTTATATGCCATTACTAAATTTAAGCACAATTTATAAACTTTATAAAGTATGTTGCCATGCTTACTGCAAGTCGTAGAAACTGTACAGGGAAGGGTGTCTCACTGAATGTTTCCAACATTTACTGTTTCATCTCATCATCTCATCTTTGTTGAATTTAGTATTTACTGATAGAACATTGTGGATACCTTGTAGAAAGTGGTCAAATGTAACATGTTTTATTTCATTGTTTTGGCCATGGGAGCATTGCCAATTTACACTCTCAGAGAGGTAGACAAAGTGTGATCTAGATTACCACTTGTCAGACTTTGACTTTTGTGGAAGTCGCGGTGGCTGAGCGGGTTATGCGGCTGACTTTGTGTGCTGCTGGTGATTAGGTGCCTGACTCTGTGAGTGTTGGTGTGAATCCTGGATCCTCAACCCAGAAAAGTGTAAAAGAATCTGTACTTTACTGAGAAAGTGTAATCCCGAATGTAACATACGTTACAGATAGAACATTGTGTCAGAAATAATTGTTGACTGGTCAGTTTCGTCTATTGGTTCAATCGTATAATGATCTGGAGATGGATGGATGAACCAGGGTGTTTGATTGGATATGGGAAATAGATCTGATGAACAGCCAGCATGTGTAGTACTTGAGGATCTTCGAATGTAATGTAATCTCACTTGATATTTTGAGTGCGAGGTCAAGGGTTCATATGTCAGATGGAATTCTACACCCTTATATCAGATAGAACAGATATCTACTCAAGAAATCGATTATTTACCTTGCCATGACATTCCCTAGTCAAACTTGTTTGTTTTTTCTTTCTGTTATTTTAACTGCTTTATTGTTATATTTCAGGGTGTTCTAGAGTCATATATGTTTTAAGTTATGTTTGTGTTTACTAATGTTTTATTTCAACACAGAAGGTGAAAAATGCAGTGTTGATATGGTGTATCTATTGTATTGACATATTTTAAAGGGACACTGATCTGGAGCAATTCCCAGGGACTGGTTGTTGCTTTTGTTATTGTTTTTCCCCTGAGACTGCCCGGATGATATCCCAGAATTCTTGACTTGGTTGTGATCTCTGCTGCGCCATTGGTAGAATAAGGGCGTATCCTTACATTGATCAACAAGGCTGACCTGTCTGAAAGTCAGTTGAGCTTATGAAGTGGTATGTTGGTCTGTCATGCTGTCTGTGGTACATATATCTTCTCGGAAACCACTGGACCTGAAAATTCACCTGATGACACCCAAAGTTCTGCAAGTGGTTTGAAACTGGTTTCCAATATGGCTAAAATTACGCCAACAAAAATATTCAAATGTAATAAAATTTTGTGCAGTGTAGCTCAATTTTACATTTGGGTTTTATAAATCTTGACCTTGATTTTATCTTTGTATTTCAAACATTACAAAAATTACTTCTAACATTTTTGTTCAGAATGCCATGAAATATTTGTATGTGTTGCTCAACACATCTGTTTACATCATATTTTGAATATAGACCTATATTTAACATTCTCACTTTGACTTGCTCTTAATAGTTTTTACGCATCAATATTTATGCCGAAAATATATGAATATCAACTTCAGTGTGTTTTTGCCATCCATGTGAGCTACAGTGCTGTGATGCTGTTTTTCAAGTTGTCAAGGGAATAGAAATTCTCTGTGCAGATTTGTCCAGATTATGCTCCATTCATCAACAACAAACTCGTGCCTGATAGTGTCAACATCTGAGACTAGGCATTTAACAATATATGGCTTAGGGCATGCAGCAATATACCTAAACTTCTGTTCAATGCAAAGTAAAGTCGTTGATCTCCATAAAAACTCTTTCCTTGCAGGACACAGAATACTATTCACCAAACAACTGCTTGCCTTTTCAAACATTCCCTATTTCTTTTCATAGTATATTTCAAAGACATGATGATTGTTTATTGCCAGAAGTTACCATTACCTATCATTTTGTTTCTATATTGCCCTTGTTCTTTGTGAAATGACTATGAAAGTATTATTGTTACACTGCATTTAAATCAGTTTAATTGTGACAGCAGTTGTGTGTATATATTGATGTATAAACTGTTCAATCTTATGTAGATTGTAGACTGTGATATATTCGTTCCAGGGCCATTCTATGTTAGTGTTAGATTTTATGTTAACATATCAGTGACAGTTAGTGACTATCAGTGAATACATGAGCATTTGTGTCAAGATTGCAAGCCCCTACTGCAAACATTTCTGATTTAAATCATACAAGGAGAAGACATGATAAATAAACTAATTATGAAACCTTTTATGTGTCATTTTGTTGGACCAGACAATCCAGTGATCAACAGCATGAGCATCGATCTATGCAATTGGGATACAATGGTCCCATTAGTCTCCCCTTACGACAAGCATGGGTTTCTGAAGACCAATTCTAACCGGATCTTCACGTTTTTCAATTATTTAGTGACTCTCGTCAGATATCTTGAATGCTGTTGAATGCCAATAAACAAAACAGTTTACTTGAACGATGGCTGTACCAATCAAAGATCTCGTATCCAAAAGTACTGATGATCAGGGTGTCTATTTGGACACTGGGTGAAACAATGCAGGATTGGCATGCTGAAATGCACACACAAAAAACCAGCTAAGCTATTCCTCGTTTATTTTCTCCAAGAATTGAATTGAATGCTTGTACTTTGTAAAACGTATTCTTCAGAACTTCGTGGCAATATCTGTACATTATATTGATCCTGCCACCTAACACAGTAGGCGCTATAATCATCCTTCTGGACATGTTGGTTAATGTTATATGTCCATTATTCGATGCCGGTCAGTCCATTTGGAAGCCAGAGCACAAGACCAAATGTTAATCATTCCATGCACCAAATACTCAATAATAACAGCAGCACACAATCAGAGTTTGGGATGTTAAATGACAAGTTGAGAAGACAATATAGGGAACTGCCATTGCTGGTTCAGCTACAAATGATCACTTCACAAACCAAACTTAGAAAATGGAGCCACTTATCTGGAAAGGGCACAAAAGCCATCAAATTAGTCTGTTTGACTTCATTTTAACCGATGAATTGCTCACTAACACAAAATCTAATAATTGCAACAAAACCAAATTTTGCAGTCACATGAAATCGACAGACCAACTCTGATGATTTGTCTCATAATTTTGGACACGCGAATAAAAAGGTTGTTGAACAAACGATCATTATTTTGTTGTCACTTTTCCCTATTTCTTACGAGGGGACCACTTGCTGGCAGAACAGCCAGGTAATCAACAAGCATGTGCAATGAAATTTCAATTTCACAGTGCAATGCGCACACCTGGCTGTTCTACCAGCAAGTGATCTTCCCTCGTAAGAAATAGAGAAAAGTGACAACAAAATAATGATCGTTTGTTCAACGTTTTTATTCGGGTGTCCAAAATTATGAGACAAATCACCAGAGTTGGTCTGTCGATTTCATTTGACTGTGCAAAGTTTGATTTTGTTGCAATTATTAGATTTTTGTGTTAGTGAGCAATTCATCGGTCTAAAATGAAATCAAACGGACTATAGTAGGGATGACGATAAACATTTGCGGTCATGTGAAAAATAAGCTGTTCTTTAACTTGTTTTGAGTAGTATACTTGATGAACTTATATACATGTAAACTGACGTACAAAAGAAAGTACACACCTGATGCTTTGGTAAAATGTTTTCCTGAAAACAGCGTAATATTTAGAAAAGTGTTTTGATTGCGACTCGCAAGTCACAAACATGGTGTACGTGTTGCCATACCATAGATATCGTGCCCAATGTGAACATTGCTAGCAAATTATTTACGTTGTTTTAATAGTCTCAAAACACCAGGTGTGTACTTTCTTGTATACATCAGTATAGATGATTGTGCTAAATAACTATCACGATGACACATTCATGCAAATAGCAACTTGATCCTGATGTGTATTTGAATACACCTGCCCTATACAGTATATACAACGATGACAAAGGTTATCTGATAAAGCAACGTAATGTCTGAAGTAATTTCTTCTAAGCACAAAAACATGACTGCCTCTACCTTTTAAACAGCATCAGGTGATGTACCTGTCGTGTACACCTTGAAATAAGCCATCATATGCATTAGGTTTTTGTCTTCTAAATGTCTCATGTTTTTCACCCAGAAGCTCAAGCTGGTATTGACGATTATGACGTTGACTTGAATTAGTTTGAGACTAGACGTCCTCAGGAATGACATTCTTGGATAGTTGAAAGGCCGACCTATCAAAGCAATTATATCCGGTTTCAGCCGGTGTCAACCAGTGTCAACCTTACGCTTGATAGAAGTCCCCAATACTTTCTCGCATTTTGAGTAACAGTAAAATTGCATCTCTTTCTTCGAGTAACAGTAAAGTCGCATCTCTTTCTTCGAGTAACAGTAAAGTCGTTTTCTTTCTTCGAGTAACAGTAAAGTCGTTTTTCTTTCTTTGTGTAACAGTAAAGTCGTTTTCTTTCTTCGAGTAACAGTAAAGTCGTTTTTCTTTCTTTGAGTAACAGTAAAGTCGCTTTCTTTCTTCAAGTAACAGTAAAGTCGTTTTCTTTCTTCGAGTAACAGTAAAGTCGTTTTTCTTTCTTTGAGTAACAGTAAAGTCGTTTTCTTTCTTCGAGTAACAGTAAAGTCGTTTTCTTTCTTTGAGTAACAGTAACAGTAAAGTCGTTTTCTTTTTCGAGTAACAGTAAAGTCGTTTTTTCTTTCTTTGAGTAACAGTAAAGTCGTTTTCTTTCTTTGAGTAACAGTAAAGTCGTTTTCTTTCTTCGTAACAGTAAAGCCAGTAAAGTCGTTTTCTTTCTTCGAGTAACAGTAAAGTCGTTTTCTTTCTTTGAGTAACAGTAAAGTCGTTTTCTTTCTTCGAACAGTAACAGTAACAGTCGTTTTCTTTCTTCGAGTAACTTCGTTTTCTTTCTTCGAGTAACAGTAAAGTCGTTTTCTTTTTCTTTGAGTAACAGTAAAGTCGTTTTCTTTCTTCGAGTAACAGTAAAGTCGTTTTCTTTCTTTGAGTAACAGTTAAGTCGTTTTCTTTCTTCGAGTAACAGTAAAGTCGTTTTCTTTCTTTGAGTAACAGTTAAGTCGTTTTTCTTTCTTTCTTTGAGTAACAGTAAAGTCGTTTTCTTTCTTTGAGTAACAGTTAAGTCGTTTTTCTTTCTTTGAGTAACAGTAAAGTCGTTTTCTTTCTTGAGTAACGGTAAAGTCGTATTTCTGTTTTGTGTAATAACATAGCTAAATATTTTTGCCAACTTCGACGGTGCAAAACGCGAATGGAATGTCAACATACATATTACTACTTCTATCTTAAACCTGCAGGTGACGATGACCCCCGAGATCCCCTGCTATCCCGAGTGACTCTCCCAACTCTCATGAGTGATTCTTCACTGTCTGTTGTCAAGTCAACTAAAAGGTCGGACACTGAAGCCACCTCAATAATTTGCTTCAGTTCAAGGAAGAAGTGTGTAAATACCAAAGGTGAAGCAGATGTTGCCAGCGTCATCTAAAATTCCTTGATTTGGTTACCAAAGCAGTTACAACACAGTTTCCTCTGAAAGAAAAAAACGATATTTAATACAGTGAGCTCTTATAATGCGCGTGAGTGAGTTGACTGAGTTTAGTTTTATGCTGATTGTAGCAATATTCCAGCAACATTGCGGCGGGGGAATCAGAAATGGGCTTCACACATTGTACCATGTGGGGAATCGAACCCTGGTCTTCGGCGTGACGAGCGAACACTTTAACCGCTGGGCTACCCCACCGCCCCGGGCTCTTATACAAGTGTGCCTGGTAATAGGGAATGATTAAAGTGAAAGTCTGTCTGATGTTTTATGTCAGATTATTAGCAAATCGGAGCCTTAAGTAGCTCTATAATGGTTGGTCTTCGTTGGTCATATCCTTGGCACATATTGCATCAGCTTTGTGCAGAAACATACTGTCCAAGTCATCACTTAGACCATAAAACGATCTTAGCGCTACAACGTACGTCCTACAGGTTTTTAAGGCCTTTAATCCAAACATTATAAAACAACACTTGTATTGGTACCGGTTTTTACAGTACAACCAGAAATTATTGAGAATTTAAAGATTGTAATTTTTTATTTTTTTCGCTCATTACTTACATATTAAATGTGAATATTAGCAGAACATAACTCCAGATTCAAAGACAGGTGAATAGTTAGTATTATGTCAAGTCACCATGGGCAGCAATGCAGCCTTCAATGCGGCGGGGCATACTACTCATCAAAGAAGTTAGAAAGTCGTGGTCCATGCTGTCCCATTATCGGACCACCTCTTCTTTCATTTCAGAAATATTTGTCAGATTTTTCTTATTGACACTTTCCTTCATAAGTCCCCAAACATTTTCTATTGGATTTAGGTCAGGGCTATAGCTTGGCCAATCTAATAATGTCATATTTTGGGTCCGAAACCAGGCCTGTGAATGCTTTGAACGATGTTTTGGGTCGTTGTCCTGCTGGAAAATCCAAAAATTTCCATAGAACACGAGAGCAGATGGAAGTAAATGTCCCTCGAGAATATCTGTGTACCGCTCACTGTTCATATTCCCTTCAAATACACAGAGGGGCGTTGCCCCTAACACAGATATGGCACCCCACACGTTACATTTCGGACTGTACTTTGGGCGCTGATACAAAGGTTTTTCAGTTTGTTTGGTCCAGAATTTCAGTGTATTAGGAAACACCCAAACAGAACTTTCATCTGAGAAAATCACATTGTCCCAGTTAATATTTATATGCTGTAAGCACCAGTTCAACCTTCGCTCCTCATGCTCGGTGATGGAATTCCTCGAATTTTCTGCCAACCCATTGCATGCAGCTCAGTTCTAATTGTCTCCTTACAGACAGCCACAGTTCCTCTATCAATCATATCCAGCCTTAAGTTTTCTAAACTCCTTCGTTTGTTTTTAGAAACAAAAATACCAAGCCGCCTCCTGTCACCGACAGTCAATTTTCTGGGCCTACCTGCGCCTCCCTAGTGCTCAATGCCATATCCATTTGCAATATTTTTCAAAACACGATAAACAGTGGACAAAGGGACCCCTGTTCTACTTGAAATCACTTTAGCTGATCTGATGTCCTTGTTATAATACTCTAAAATCAACTTCCTCTTCTCTAAATCATCCATACTGAGGATCACTGAAACTGTCGTCTGCTAGCATGTAAACAAAGGGGGATAACTCTTCACAAACTACTGAAAAAGGATTAACGGAGTTGTCTCTCTTGAATGAAACCAAGCACTTGATAGCTGGTCAAGGTTGTTCATACTAGAAATCCAATTAAACATATTCCTAAAATTCTCAATAATTTCTGGTCATACTATAGTACAATGGGTGTGACTTTTGAAATTGTTTGGTTTGGTTGTTGTTAAACGCCGCACTCAGCATTATTCCAGCTATATGGCGGTGGTCTGTAAATAATCGACCCGGGACCGGACAATCCGGTGATCAACATCATGGACATCGATCTAAATGGGACACGATGACATGTGTCTACGAGTCTAACCGCCCGATCCCGTTAGTCGCCCCTTACGACAAGCATGGGTTACTGAAGATCAATGCTAACCCGGATCTTAATGGGTCTGAAATTGTATAAACTAAACTTACACTGTCGAACTCGAACCCGTAAGTAACCTTGGTCGTAATCCTGGCCTCTTCCATTAGACCAAACACAGAGGTATTTTCCTTGATCGGAAACCTGGACTCCATCTCTGAATGAATACAAGCTCAAGTAGCTTCCAGTAGTCTCCCAAATAGGGTCAGGGAAACCAAGGGAGATAACTGTCATCCCGAACAAAGACCTTGTTTCGTCGTTGTACCCCTCCTCGATCTCTTTATACCACTGTTAGAGAAACGTATAGTTTGTCAACAAAACCACAAAGTTGATAAAAATACTAACTGAGACCTAAAACACCGATTCATTTGCTTACACAAACATGAATCTAACAATGTTTCTTGGCTGAAAACCATCTATATAGAAACACACCTTCCCCTGGCAAAGGAGTTAACTAACTATTAAAGTAGACTCTTCACTCTTACAAACTGGGCTGGAATAACGAATCTGTACATGTGCGTTGTCCAATCCGAATTGCGAAACGAAATCGATATCCCGTCAACGAACAACATGGCGACCGCCGTAGAAATTCGGTCGACTGCGGTATTTGTAGAGCATGTCTACCTTCAACTGGTTGTCAGCGGATATTTTCCCAATCTTTTCTTGTATTCAATCAAAGTGAGAAAGTCATTTTATTCGCTAGGTAAGACCCGTTGTATCTGATAAGATGTTAATTATCGATTACAAGGTCTTGACAGAGCGCCGCCATTTTGTTCGAAACAGACGCACGCTTTCGTCACCACTCGCCCTTTCCGTAACCTCCAAGCTATTCGGCTTGTCCCCGACTAAACTGAGACGCACGTACAGTTTGATTGGTCAGTAGAAGGAATGTAGGAGTGACATAATTTATAATTCCAGCCTAGTTAGGCAATGATGGAAACTGGACTTTTAAGGTCAGTAAATTCTTTTGGCCTCGGATGATAAGCATCTTGGTAGTGTTGAACGCATTCATAATCAATATTTCTAAAAACAAAATAAGGTGAAACGTGAATAATAAACACAATATTTTAGGGACGTCTGAGTTCCACAAGTAACCTTATTCACTCGAAACTCCTTCTCTTGTACAGTTCCCTGCAACTGAATTTGCAATTGTCAGTTCCTTATTGGACATCATGTATTCTCTGAACTTGTACAAGAAACATAACAGACTAACTATCTCAACACTACCTGTACAGTGGGTGTGTTGTCGCTCTCTGCTCGACATTGTAAGACGCTGTTTTCACCGACAGTGACACTCCTGTTCCCCATGAAAGGAGCTATGACACGTGGACCAATGTTCCCTGTAACACAGAATGAAGACGAGGAGTTGTTGTGGAGGTTGACAATACCAGTTACAGCTTCTCAGTACCATATCCATACATGTTAAACTTTTATATAGTCCATTAAAAACTTGTATAGTTCGACTGCTGTAACAGTCATGACAGGTTCACTCTCCAATGTTGAGGAAGGTGCAAACCATTTTTACATTGGCAATCAAGAATGTTTAACATATGGCCTTCTCCATATTGGTGGGATATTCCAATGCCACCATTGTGCGGAGAAGTGCATTGTAATGTCAGGGTGGCTGCCGTTCTGTCATGGAGAAAAGTGGAAGAAGAAGCTTTAAATATGTTCAAAATGTATGTTGTTTAACGCCGCACATTCACATCACTGTACCCGTGAAGATCCGGGTTAGAATCGGTTTTCAGCAACCCATGCTTGTCGTAAGAGGCGACGAACGGGATCGGGTGGTCAGGCTCGCTGACCTGGTTGACACATGTCATCGTTTCCCAATTGTGTAGATCGACGCTCGTGCTGTTGATTACCGGGTTGTCTGGTCCAGAGTCGATTATTTACAAACCGTCGCCATATAGCTGGAATATTGCTGAGTGCGACGTCAAACAAAACAAAACTACAACACTGTAGGTGTTTATAGTCGCTTTCCATATCTGTGAACACACAAGTTGTTTTTATCCAGAGTGTATTCGTGGCATCATGTTTACAACCCGGTACATGTCATCGTATCCCAGTTGGGTAGATCGATGCTCATGATGTCAGTAACTGGATTGTCTGCTCCAATCCAATATTTACAAAACTTATGACGTCAAAGGGTAGAGTTCTTGTACTCACGAGGCAGGACAGTCAGAGTTGTTTCCTCCCGGGCACCTGACTGCACGACGTAGCACAAATACGTCCCAGCATGCTCCATACTGACGTCATCTAACTGAAGTATATTCAGATGGTTCATCTCGTCACGTGACCACGTCTCCCCTGACCCGACGAGGCGGTATGGGATGTAGTCGATGAGAAGAGCATGTCTGATGTCACACACGGGCACGCTGGTGTCTGGCTTCACTAACCACTGAAAACACAAAAACGGTGGGTTTTTCTATTTTAAGATTTGTGTTGATTGCCCCTACTCTTCTTAAAGGCCTTAAGTTTGTGAGTGAGTGAGTTGGGTTTTACGCCGCATTTAGCAATATTTCAGAAATATCACGACGGGGGACACCAGAAATGAGCTTCACACATAGTACCCATGTGGGGAATCGAACCCGGGTCTTCGGTGTGACGAGCAAACGCTTTAACCACTAGGCTACCCCATCCCACCGCCCCATCCGTTATGAGGGTAACTGAGAGTAGGTTCACACCGTATTCAGCGTCAACCCAGCAGTATCATGCCTGGGAGCATCGGCAATTGGCTTCAATGACATTCTACCAATGTTGAGGATTGAACCGGGGTTTGGCGTGACGAGCGAGAGCTTCAACCTCTACGCTTCCCCTGAAACCAAGTGTATCGGACCGTTGTTTCAGAATGAGTGTGTGACTGAGATGGGTTTTACGCCGCTTTTAGCAATATTCCAGCATTATCACGACGGGGGACCCCAGAAATGAGCTTCACACATTGTACCCATGTGTGGAATCAAACCTGGGCCTCCGGCGTGACGAGCGAACGCTTTAACCACTAGGCTACGCCAGGTTATTTCGAAATGATGACTTTGCCTCAGCAAATGTTGCATTTTGAATTTGAAGGTTTACTCCATACGTATCTGAGGTCCAGTGAACCAAACTTACACCATTACTTAGACCACTCCATTTCCAAAGCATACGTACTGCAAACAAGGGTTTTGTTTCTCCTCTGACATGGCAGTATATGGACACGCTGTCTCCTTCCTGTACCGTCACACGCCGAGGGGTCAAGGACACGATTCCAGACAGTGACTTGCTAGCCTCGTTCTCGTTTCCTTGTAATGTGAAAGAAGGAAACACTGAAATGGGAACTGTCAGCCCCCTAGTAATTTTGATTTAAGTCTCTTGTTCAAATTTCATGCCGTGCCGTATTTAACAATTCTCTAGCGTTTATCTTCAAATATGCGGGGACTATATCACTTTCAAAATTGGCATTTAATCAACTTTAACTAAGCTGAAATTCGGATATATCTGTGAAAAGAGTTTCATTTCCATCACATTGACATGGGCCTACAAAAATCGAGGAGCCAAAATCGAAATATTACCATACATATAAACAAAAACGGTTTAGTAGGATATAGATAAGCGATATTATTTGGACCTACGCCCCATTGTTCATGTTATCTTATGAATAATTCTTTAAAACTTGAATACATTTTCAATTTACGGAATATTTTCGAATCTATGACAAGCGGAGGGGCGTAATTCTCAACAAAATGTCGTAGCACTTTGTCCTACCAGCCACTTGTGTCATATCACATTGTCCTGCTCTTACACATTATATACACCTGTGCATTAATTAAGCACCACCCTATTTTGAAAATAAGATGTGATGCTACAGAAAAGTTAGGGTATAGCCATCAATTTAATCAACCTGTAGTTAAAGAAGCTTTATCCACTGACAGTTTTACAAATACCATAACCTTTTCTATTCTTTATGAAAGAATATGTTGATGAAAATGTGATGGGACTGAATTTTTACCCAAAATAACTATTCCTCTCCTGCTCAGACTACACAATTAAATTAAGTTTGGACTAAAAATAACAATTCTGTTATATACCAAGATGACATCAAGTAAACTTTAATTATGCATAATCAGGAAGAACCCGAATGTCAAAGATTCAGACCTTTTTCAAACAATTCAGATTGCTAATTGACAAAAACTGAAAAAGGTCACATTGATAAGATTTGGAATAATTTTTTTTATGATTTTAAGTTTCTTGTAATGAATAAACACTTCTCCTTACAGGATACTGATAAATGCAGCTAATACCTGTTTGTTTTGTTTGTAAAACAACTTTTACTGCATTTTAAAATTTTCCTTTTTTTTTATTTTGACTGTAACTTTTCCTAAATCTTAGTTTACAAAATTTCATCCATCCACAATAAATGACGAATGTACAGGCCACACAAAAATCAATTATTACTTTCACTTTTCAACATAAGGTAACTTGTTTTAGGACAGAAAAACACCTGTTTTTAATATAGGCAATTATCCTAATTAAAATACATGGTAATTTCAATGATGTTTTCGGTTTTGAAATGTTAAATGCTTGCTCTATCAAATTATAAAGGTTATTTTTTGGAAAGAGTTTTAGAATTTCATTTCAGACAAAATCAATTGGAAAAAAAGGGTGGTGCTTATTTTATGCACAGATCTATAAATTGCACTTTGACACTTATATGCCTACAGGAAGGCATGGCATGCTTCCCTTTTCGCGAACACCTGGTGTCATCAGTAATTTTCAGGGATTCATTCATGTTATGTACCTCACTATATTGCCTACAACGACCAATTGAATCTGTTTCTGAGACTCGTTATTCTCTGGCTTTGACGTTCTGTATTCTTGATTTTAGATGTCTACGTGACCTTACCTTGTCACATTAAAACACATACTTACCGTTTTCTTGAAAGGTCACGGTGGCTTGACCATACATAATAGTACTTCCTGTTTTGTTCTGTACCAAACAATTATACTGTCCACCTTCACGGGCGGATAACCAGTGACCTTGCACAAGAGCTGAAAGTTACATAAAAAGCAATGAACTTTATCTTAAACTTTACAGCTCTTTTTAAAACACGGTAATTTCATTGTCAATATTATGGTCATTTCTAACACCAAATTTGACACCTTTGTCGGGAAAAATTGTCTTTCTACATAGAACCTATCTCGCTACTGTGGTAACAAAAATAAGATCCATTTGAACTAATGAAGGAAGATTAGTTCCAAAGTGTGTAAAAATATAAATTAAATAATTGACAGGGAAAACTAGTTCTAAGCTATACGTTTCTTTGTAGCTTTTTCTGGATTATTTTGTAAGGTTCGTTTAAGATACAGTTTGTACTGTCAATGTTTCCTTGTCATTCTCAGTCACTGAACCTTGCCACTGAACTAAAACTAAGGACAACATTATTCTTACGACTGATAGTCATGGTGCTGCTTATTTCTTCTACACAAGCATCAACGACCCTTGACTGATTGAGGTGATGGAACACGAACACTTTCGGGTCAATAGGTTGGCCTTCCTTCTCCCACTGGAGGTAATACCCCACGTCAAGGGGCACCCGAGCTACACACGTGAGGGTGAAATTTGGTGCGCTGGTTGAAACTGATAAATCTTCAAGCTCTTCTACAAAGGCTGGTAGACCTGTGAAATACATTGAAGTTAAAAAGGTTGGTGAAATATTGATGGCTTCTATAGCTCATAAGATCCTGTAGTAACAACAGAGGTTTGTAGCGAACTATATGAACCGGCCAAGTCTTCTATAGTTCAGATATCCGAACATCCCCGAGGCATTCCCTGATCATACAATCTCCGCGTTGCAGCTCAGATTGGGCCTTTTAGCAATATTCCAGCAATATCATGGCGGGGGATACCAGACGCTTCACACATTATACCCATGTGGGGAATCGAATCGTGATGGACGCTTTAACTCTCCCACCGCCGAGTAAAAACATTGATAGGATATGTCTGAGCACTGATTAATAATTAGTAACGTTTGTTCCCCCTCCCTCTCCCTTTGGGGCGTTTGAACTAACATGGTCTCTTGTGGAACATTGCCATGACATCAGTCTATGTATTGCAATACAAGAACTGGCCCCACGTCACTATTAACTACAGACTTGGGTCTAACGCCTCTCTGAAATATATTTTTCAGCGCGACAGCTGTCTGTGAAAGAAAATCCCAAAGTGACAGGCATGGCTGTTCTTCGGTTGGTGATGTGACTGAGGTGAAATTTGCATCAGAAATATTGCATCCATGATCTTCAACTGAACACAGTATGTTGCTGGTAGATCGAAGTTCATTACCACCCGGATTTGGGATTCAAATATAAACTGAAAATTAGAGAAACGGAATAACTGCAGATATTAGCCAACAGACTGTAAAATGTTGAGTTTGCAGTTTACCAGGAAACATTCAACTAGTATTATATTTGGTTGAAGCGACTCGATGATACTGACACTGAAATAAACCGTGAAGATCCGGGTTAGAACTGATCGCCAGCAACCCATGCTTGTCGTAAGAGACGACCATTCTAAGATGCCTAGCGGTTAGAACAATCGAAAAAAAAATACATTATCAAACAATATAGGTATAGTTTTTTGATGACGTAACAATTGAATGACGTTAACCCGTCACTGCGCCATTCTAGTGTGCCCCCTCGTAATCGAACCATTTTACATTACGTCACAATGTAAGCGACGTCACGATGCATGTCAGTTGTCATCGCCTCGTACGGCCTCCTACAGTAAACTACACCGTTGCATCCAGTTTCTTGGTTTGCTGTTGCTTCACGCAGCTAACATCACTGGTGGAAACATTACGTTTATGTTTTACGACGGTTAAAATGTGTCATTTCGACTCACAAGTTTTCAGCGACACGGTAACGTTCGCAATGTTTACATTCCCACAATGCAATCGTGGAATGTCGCTTGACTACTCAGCTTCCTCTGGATGTACTGATCTAAACTTACGCTGGTAGTAGAAATGCAACGTTCATATTGCCCCATATGGTTTACGTTAATGACAGATGTAATTAATATAATTCAGAGAAGATATTTAATCCGAACGTAAACCGTCATCAAACTGTTATCATTTGTTTTTTTCTGGTAACGTTCGTCTTAACGTAGGGGGCAGACACATCAATAGAACAGCGCACCAGTTAGCCCTGTGCGAGGATTCTTAATTTAGGTCACCGACACCGTCGTTTGTTTTCTGCCTTAAATTAATCGTAATTATCTTTAGAAAGTATTAAATTTGGCATCTTAGAAAAGAAATACAGTTCGCTCTACCACCATGTATAGTGTAATAAAGCACACTTTCGCCCTGAGCTATTATAACGTTAAAGCACTCGGACGCAAGCGTCCTCGTACTTTAACTATAATAGTTCAGGGCGAAAATGTGTTTTATTACACTATACATGGTGGTAAACGAACTATATTTTTAAATAGGATCGGGTTGTCAGGCTCACTGACACATTTTATCGTATCCCAATTGCGTAAAACGATTCTCATGACTTCAATCACTGGATTGTCTGGTCGAATATTTACCGACCGAGTTCATATAGCAGGGCCTAGATTTTCGAAGCTCTCTTAGCGCTAAGATAGTCGTAAGTGCCATACATGAACAGAAACCTACGACCATCTTAGCGCTAAGAGGGCTCTTCGAAAATCTAGGCCCTGGAATATTGCTGAATGTATCGTTAAAGAACAAACTAACGAACGACAATTAAATATCTTTGTGATTAACCAAACAATCCATGAAGATCCGGGTTAGAATTAATCTTCAGCACAATATGCTTGTCGTGAGAGACAAACAGGATTGGGTGGCCAGGCTCGCTGTCTTGGTCAACACATGTCATCGTATCTCAATTGTGTAGATCAATTGTCATGACGTTGATCACTGGATTGTCTGTTCCAGACTCGCTTATTTACAGACCGCCGTCATATAGCTGGAATATTGCTGATTGGGAAAGAATAAACAAACAAACAAAAGAACCAAACACTATTCTTACCTGATTGAGGTTGCACTTGCACAATAGTACTGTTGTAACCATAACCGAAGGTATTGGCAGCAAGACAAACGATTTTCCCATTGTGAGCCCTTGTCACGTTCGGTAGTCGCAGAACATCGTCGTTTTGTGCCGTACTCTCTAGGACGACGTAGGACTTGGAGTGCACGGACAAGATGCTGGTTGGGTCGTAACGGGAGGTGCTGTTAGCCGGTACCTCCAACAGCCACTGATGGAACATGAACATGGATTATGGAACATGCAACATGGATGAATTCTCGGTTATCCAGCGTCACATATATCAAGTGTTAAGGATAAATACCTACCTACCCCATCGCTCCTATATCTGTGTGTATCGTGCGTGCGTGCGTGCGTGCGTGCGTGCGTGCGTGTGTGTGTGTTTGTGTGTTTAGGCTAGTGCTGAAAGCGTTCTCTCTTCACGCTGAAGACCCGGGTCCAATTCCCCACATGCGTACAATGTGAGACGCCAATGTCAGGTGTCCCCGCCGTGATATTCCTGGAATATTGCTAAAGTGACGTAAAAACATACGCACTCGCTCACTCACTCACTCACTCATATATCAAAGCACATAACTCGCTCACGTGAGCGATTTGATTGAACGTATGTTTTAAGTCGTTCTATTCGACCCGTGCTCAAAAAGAAGTTGTGAATGGGTGTACATGATAATAGCATGACGATATATTACACTGGTAGACTGGATTTCGCCAAGTATAATGTACAAAATTATCATATTAGGATAAAAAGAAACTGACATACAAAAGAGTGAGTGAGTGAGTTTAGTTTTACGCCGCCTTTAGCAATATTTCAGCAATATCACGGCGGGGGACACCAGAAATGGGCTTCACACATTTTACCCATGTGGGGACTCGAACCCGAGTTCGAGCGAATACTTTAACCACCAGGCTACCCCGCCGACCCTACAAAAGAGAGTAACGACGGGGGTATATTTTCACTTGTAAGCCACAATAATTTCAAAATATTTACATTGTGTTTAGGAAAATGATCCCTAAGCACCAGACGTGTACTTTCTTTTGTACTTTACTTTTCTTTCTTTTAATGGCAACACCCTCGTAAATTTTACACTGCACAAGAATAAAAGGGATAAATGTTTCACTGTGTAGGTTTCACTTGGAGTGGGAAATGGATTTCACAGATTGTACCCATGAGGGGAATCGAACCCGGGACTTCGGTGTGACGGACGAACACTTTAACCACTTACCCCCACTGGTTTCATCTGGAATTTGTATATGACTGCAGAGGCAAGATGTGTGGACAGGAGAGACAAATTGTTGAATACATGTTTACGTTGGCTGTTATTGATATTACAGCATCATCGCGGTTGGTTTGTTTGTTGTTTAACGCCGACCTCGGCAATATTCCAGCTATATGGCGGCGGTCTGTAAATATTCGAGTCTGGACCAGACAATCCGGTGATCAACAGCATGTGCATCGTTAGAATATTGATCTTCAATAACCCATGCTTGTCGTAAGAGGCGACTAACGGGATCGGGTGGTCAGGCTCGCTGACTTGGTTGACACATGTCATCGGTTCCCAATTGCGCGGATCGATGCTCATGCTGTTGATCACTGGATTGTCTGGTCCAGACTCGAATATTTACCGACCGAGTTCATAAAGCTGGGATATTGCTGAATGTATCGTTAAAGAACAAACTAACGAACGACAATTAAATATCTTTGTGATTAACCAAACAATCCATGAAGATCCGGGTTAGAATTAATCTTCAGCACAATATGCTTGTCGTGAGAGACAAATCAGGATTGGGTGGCCAGGCTCGCTGTCTTGGTTGACACATGTCATCGTATCTCAATTGTGTAGATCAATTGTCATGAGGTTGATCACTGGATTGTCTGTTCCAGACTCGCTTATTTACAGACCGCCGTCATATAGCTGGAATATTGCTGATTGGGAAAGAATAAACAAACAAACAAAAGAACCAAACACTATTCCTACCTGATTGAGGTTGCACTTGCACAATAGTACTGTTGTAACCATAGCCGAAGGTATTGGCAGCAAGACAAACGATTTTCCCATCGTGAGCCCTTGTCACGTTCGGCAGCCGCAGAACGTCGTCGTTTTGTGCCGTACTCTCTAGGACGACGTAGGACTTGGAGTGCACGGACAAGATGCTGGTTGGGTCGTAACGGGAGGTGCTGTTAGCCGGTACCTCCAACAGCCACTGATGGAATATGAACATGGATTATGGAACATGCAACATGGATGAACTCTCGGTTATCCAGCGTAACATATGTCAGGTGTTAAGGATAAATACCTACCCCCATCGCTCCTATATCAAAGCGGGGAGGTGGGGTAGTCTAGTGCTGAAAGCGTTCTCTCTTCACGCTGAAGACCTGGGTTCAATTCCCCACATTCCCCACAAGCATGGGTTACCGAAGACCAATTCTAACCCGGATCTTCACGGGTCAGCTAGATTAGGCATCCCACATACAACCCACGGGTATCGAACGCAGTCTTGACGTGAAGATCAATGCTTTCACCACTGGGCTACCCGACCCAGAAAGGAAAAGAGGAACATTGTTTGTCAGTGTTGTTATTGGCGATATCGCCGTTGTTATAACACTTTTGTAGAAGGTTCTCTAATTGAAATACCCGTGAAGGTCCGGGTTAGAATATTGATCTTCAATAACCCATGCTTGTCGTAAGAGGCGACTAACGGGATCGGGTGGTCAGGCTCGCTGACTTGGTTGACACATGTCATCGGTTCCCAATTGCGCGGATCGATGCTCATGCTGTTGATCACCGGATTGTCTGGTCCAGACTCGATTATTTGCAGACCGCCGCCTATAGCTGAAATATTGCTGGGTGCGGCGTAAAACTAAACTCACTCACTCACCCATTCTCTAATTGAAAAAAACCCCATGATATTCAGCAGCTGATTGGATCATTAGAGTGAGTGAGTGGGTTAGGTTTTACATCTCATAATCATGATAATGTTCCAGCAATATCACGCCGAAGACTCGGGTTCGATTCCCCACAAGGATTCAATATGTGAAGCCGATTTCTGGTGTCCCCCGCCGTGGGATAGTGCTGGAATATTGCTCCCTCACTCACTCAGCTACTCGCCCAACCTTTCTCTCACTCACTCACTCACTCACGCACGCACTCCAACTCACCCAAACACGGGTGAGACGACAAGGCACATACACGCCCAGCGTATGTTAACTCACCATCACTTATCCTACCTGGATATGGGAGTTGAAGTCGGACTTGTAGTTACACTTGAACACTGCCGTGTCTCCGCACCTGACCTGAAGTTTGGGTGGTTCCACCGTGATAGCCCTGGGCTGCAGGGGCTGGGAGTCTGTCAGGTAACAGCCTACATCTTTACTATGGAACTCTCACACAGTAAACACCGACATGTTTAATAGTTTAACACAGTACTCAAAATACTCACCATCATAGTTTTCACCATTCATAAACTGAACCTGATTTCAGAGATTTCAGATGATGAACAGAATTTCAACCATACATTGGGATATAGTACATTTCCATACGAGGACGGGGGAACGTTTTAGTCACGAATCATCTCGGTACAAGTGACCGTAGGATTCAAATTATAATTGCTGATTTATTTCCCTAGAAAACGGACATTCTTGTACAGTTCCGAATGTAAATACTAATGTCTGTTCCACGATATTTTGTTGTGAGTATGTTCTCGTACCTACGTGTCCTGTGTTCTCTGAAACCACGTTAAGTATCTGATTTATTCATCTTGAAAACGAAAACTCTTGAAACTGAACAGTTCCGAATGTAAATAAAAATGTCTGTTCCACGACATTTTGCTGTGAGTATTTTCTGGTACCTACGTGTACTGTGTTTTGTCTGAACACATGTTAAATATCTGATTTATTTCCCTAAACAATCTCCATACTGTGCAGTTCCGAATGTAAATACTAATGTCTGTTCCATGATATTTTGTTGTATGTTCTATTCCCTACGCTGTACTATGTTCTCTGAACACATGTTAAACTTCTTATTTATTTACCTAAAAAACGAAAAATCTCGAAACTGTACAGTTCCGAATACAAATAATAATGTTTGTTCCACGATATTTTGTTGCATGTTCTGATACCTAAGTTGTACTGTGTTCTCTGAACACGTGTTCAATGTATGATTTATTTACCTAGAAAACGAAAATTCTCGAAACTGTACAGTTCCTATTGTACATACTAATGTCTGTTTCCATATTGTGTTGTTCTCTGAACACATGGCATGTATCAATATGAGACTCTTACCAACCACGGAGACTGTGTACGTCTTGGTGATTTTTCCATATCTGTTGACGGCGCTACAGATGTAATCTCCGGAGTCCAGAGAGTCCAGATCCCGGATGGTCAACACGTTGTGATTCAACCCATCGCGCAAACGAATTTTTTTCCTATCTCCCACCACCTCCTCGTCATACCGATACCACGTGACTTCAGCGGGTGGATTGGCGGACACGGAACAGCGCAGGCGCAGAATGGCACCCTTCCGGCTGATGCTGGTTCTTGTTTCGCTGCCATGAAGAAACTCAGGCGGTTCATGACCTGTGAGAGAATGAATCAAACATACGTACAAAATCGAACACACGTACAGTCGGAAAACATGAAAGCATATAATAGTATATGTTTTCTTTCCCAGGTCTCTTCGCAACCGTTATTGCACTGTAGGTGAAAATGAGAATAAGTACTGATGATGCCTTACTTGTTTCCCTGAGTAAATTTACATAAGGTCGTACGTAAGGTCGTTAACAATACGCCACAGTATGCATGTTGCCCTATTTTGCATTACCTAACCCATCCCAGAACAATACGAAAGCAATCTGGAATTACTTCTGTCAGCATTGGACATCATTCATAATTGAGTGTAGAGCAGCCTAATTCGTAGTGTGAGTGAGTGAGTTCAGTTTTAAGCCGCTTTCAGCATTATTTCAACTTTATTTCATCAGGGCGGGGGTACACAAGAAGTGACTGATGTGCTGATGACATAATGTCTCCAGCAACGGTGACATCATGGGAATCGCAGACGTTCTGTAGTGGTGGCTTGACATCAACGACGGTGAGAGCTGATGTCAACCTTCTATGATTGTTGGTGGTGGCACAAGTGTCTTGACATCAGCAACGGTGACCATGTGTGGTCTCGCACACGTTCACAAGTACTTGACATCAACGACGGTGACCTTGTGGTCTTGCACACGTTCTGTGAACACAAGTATCTTGACATCAACGACGGTGACCCTGTAGTCTTGCACACATTCTGTGATGGCAGCACAAGTATCTTGACATCAACAACGGTGACCGTGTGGTTTTGCACACGTTTTGTGGTGGTGTCACAAGTAACTGAACATCAACGACGGTGACCGTGTGGTCTCGCACACGTTCTGTGGTGGCAGCACAAGTATCTTGACATCAACGACGGTGACCGTGTGGTCTCGCACACGTTTTGTGGTGGTGGCACAAGTATCTTGACATCAACGACGGTGACCGTGTGGTCTTGCACACGTTCTGTGGTGGTGGCACAAGTATCTTGACATCAACGACGGTGACCGTGTGGTTTTGCACGCGTTTTGTGGTGGTGTCACAAGTAACTGAACATCAACGACGGTGACCTTGTGTATTTTCGCACATGTTCTGTGGTGGCAGCACAAGTATCTTGACATCAACGACGGTGACCGTGTGGTCTCGCACACGTTTTGTGGTGGTGGCACAAGTATCTTGACATCAACGACGGTGACCGTGTGGTCTTGCACACGTTCTGTGGTGGTGGCACAAGTATCTTGACATCAACGACGGTGACCTTGTGGAAACGCATACGTTCTGTGGTGGTGGCACAAATTAGCTTGACTTCAACAACGGTGACTGTGTAGACTCGCTCACGTTCTGTGGTGGCACAAATTAGCTTGACTTCAACAACGGTGACTGTGTAGACCCGCTCACGTTCTGTGGTGGTGTCAAATTAACTGAACATCAACGACGGTGACCTTGTGGTTTCGCACACGTTCTGTGGTGGCAGCACAAGTATCTTGACATTCAACAACGGTGACTGTGACCGTGTGGTCTCACACGTTCTGGTGGTGGCACAAATTAGCTTGACTTCATCTTGACATGAACGACGCTGACCGTGACTGGTCTTGCACACACGTTCTGTGGTGGTGGCACAAGCTTGATCTTGACATCAACGACGGTGACCTTGTGGACATTAGCTTGACTTCGCAACGGTGACTGTACGTTCTGTGGTGGTGGCACAAATTAAGCTTGACTTCAACAACGGTGACTGTGTAGACCCGCTCACGTTCTGTGGTGGCACAAATTTAGCTTGACTTCAACAACGGTGACTGTGTGTAGACTCGCTCACGTTCTGTGGTGGCACAAATTAGCTTGACTTCAACAACGGTGACTGTGTAGACTCGCTCACGTTCTGTGGTGGCACAAATTAGCTTGACTTCAACAACGGTGACTGTGTAGACCCGCTCACGTTCTGTGGTGGCACAAATTAGCTTGACTTCAACAACGGTGACTGTGTAGACTCGCTCACGTTCTGTGGTGGCACAAATTAGCTTGACTTCAACAACGGTGACTGTGTAGACCCGCTCACGTTCTGTGGTGGCACAAATTAGCTTGACTTCAACAACGGTGACTGTGTAGACTCGCTCACGTTCTGTGGTGGCACAAATTAGCTTGACTTCAACAACGGTGACTGTGTAGACTCGCTCACGTTCTGTGGTGGCACAAATTAGCTTGACTTCAACAACGGTGACTGTGTAGACTCGCTCACGTTCTGTGGTGGCACACATGGCACAAATTAGCTCACGTTCTGTGACTTTAGCTTGACAACGGTGACTGTGTAGACCCGCTCACGTTCTGTGGTGGCACAAATTAGCTTGACTTCAACAACGGTGACTGTGTAGACCCGCTCACGTTCTGTGGTGGCACAAATTAGCTTGACTTCAACAACGGTGACTGTGTAGACCCGCTCACGTTCTGTGGTGGCACAAATTAGCTTGACTTCAACAACGGTGACTGTGTAGACTCGCTCACGTTCTGTGATACGTTCTGCGACCGTGATATGTTTTCTCGCCCATTGTAGCCTACTATGATTTCAGGAGCACTAGGGGGCAGTTCAATGATCATATTTTACGGAGAAAAGCAAACAACAAATATTTAGAGCTGCACAAACCAAAGCACCACGTCGATAAGAAACGGCAACTATCTATTTGAATTCCTAACAGTCATTAACACGGAACAAAATGCCATTTCCACTGTGTTTTGCGACTGGAACCTGGTACAGTCGACCCGCAGCTGGCAAAAGCACAACCCATTGACCCAACCGCCCAATCCTGTCGTTGTTATTGACTGCATGGAATACGCAGATCCGTGGGCTAAAACGCGAAGTCGTGAGTTCAAGTTTGTTCAGCAGTTGTTTGGGCAACACAGACGTTTGTTCAGCATGTCAAGCTATATGTCAACTCAAGGCATAGCTCAGACACAGCGTCAGAGCAAATGATATTGTTTTACGCCGCACACAGCAACATTCAAGGAGCACCAGTACGACCAGTCGGGATTCAGAAATCCAGTAATTAATATAATGAGAGAAGATCACTTGGGTACGATAACATTCTAACTACATCTTAAAATAATAATAATAATAATAGTCCATTTATATTGCGCATTTATCCATGCACATTGCATGCTCAAAGCGCTGACATATTACCCCTGGTCAACGAGTACAGAACACTCCGTTTGGAGAATACTACCGGTCGCCTGTCAGGCTCTCAAGGTTCAAATTCAGACTACCATCATATCATACCAGGTACCCAGTTTTACTGCTGGGTGGACAGAGGCAAGTTTGAACAAACTCACTTGCCTAAGGTGAGACCACATGTATGACATATGCTTCGTTGTGGGGAAGGACTGAAGTCCTAGAAACTCTCAGGAGTCAAGCTGCCAAACACGGTTACCCATTCGAGGACTGTCCGCGACCACCGTTGCTTAAAGTCAACTGATTGTGACCTGTGCTCTACGCGCAGGACCGCACACCACACCACACACATGCTTTTTAGATATTACTAATAGCCCATTTAAATATGTACTTGTTGTCAATATATGCGTGAGAACAAAACTCTGTTCCACTGGAGATATCGCTTGTCTGCGATCAAACGATATCTCCAAGGAGATATCGCTTTGACAGTAGAGTTTGTACAATGCTCTGACGTCATCAATTACATGAGATCAAATGCTTTGACGTCATCAATTACATGACTCACAATGCTATGACGTCATAAACTTGTGTCGTCTGATATCAAATATATCAACTCGAGTTGATAAAGTTACAAATATCCGAGGCTTGGGTGAGATTCTCTATGTATAAAGGGTTCCTAACTAAGAGGGAAATAGTTGATACGTGTTAATTCAATGTTACAACTACAAGGCGTACAGTTCTTTCCTACGAAGGGATGAGCCAAACAACTGTTTTTGACCAACAGCACACGTTTTTTCAGAGTGAGTGAGTGAGTTTAGTGTTATGCCGCACTCAGCAATATTCCAGCTATATGGCGGCGGTCTGTAAATATAGTCGAGTCTGGACCAGACCATCCAGTGATCAACAGCATGATCATCGATCTGCGCAATTGGGAACCGATGACACGTGTCAACCAAGTCAGCGAGCCTGACCACCCGATCCCGTTAGTCGCCTCTTACGACAAGCCTAATCGCCTTTTGTGGCCACCATGGGTTGCTGAAGACCTTTTCTACCCCTGATGTTCACGGGTTCTTTTTTTCATCAGATGACACGTGCAGGTTTTTTAGGTTGTTTATAAAAAAAATACTGAAGACAAATGACTTTTATCGTCATTTTCCAGATTATCTTCTGTCATTGTTACAGCCGTCCGCACAAATAGTGATACGGTCTTGTATCAAGGATGCAATTAAAGCTCCCATCAGCTCCAAGCAAAAGGAACTCTACAAAAGCATCATTCTGGTGTTTTTTGTTTTGCATTCTAAATCAGTCACTCACACCACACACGAGTCCCAAAACCATCAAACAGACCCTGGAATCATGAGTACTAATTTGGGGGTTATCTGCCACCTGAATTGCATGCCCGTAATACAAATTCAATAAATTAAATAAAGACCAAGCACGTACCTTTTTGTAAAACTCCAGAAACTCCCCAAGAAGACAAAATTACATATATAACAACAGCACGCAGGTCCATTTCACAGGCAGGCGAGGGCGAATTGAAGTCGTCATTCGCCAAAATGCGTCTCGTTCAACTGAGGACATTTGACCTGATTGGGGCACTTACCACACAGGAAATGGTGACTTCATGTTATAATGTTCGAGCTAACTGCGTGTCACGCTGAATATCTCACCAACACTCAGTGTGCTTCGTGGGGAACGTGTTAGTTTTTGTCGCCATTGTCGACCATTGTTTGGGTTATTTGTGGCTGAGGTTGAGCTCCGGTGTGTGTGGCGGTAGAGAAAGTGACTACAATTATTCAAATCGTTTGAAGTGATATAACATGGGAACGGATATAGTCGAGCGAATGTCAAACGGACTGATGGCACGAATCTGACTGGCTTGATTGAAATTTGCAAGATACGTTTGGAGGAATGTCTGGTTGAAAGCTTTATGTGCTTTATGTGTTTACGGAAGGACAGGTGGCCCACTGGTTGAAGCATTCACTCGTCACGGCGAAGGACCGGGTTCGATTCTTCACATGGGTACAATGTGTGAAACCCATTTCTCGTGTCCCCGCCGTGATATTGCTCGAATATTGCTAAAAGCGACGTAAGGCTATACCCACTCACTAACGTGTATACGAGAGGTCAGGTAGTCCAGTTGTTCAAGCGTTCGCTCGTCACGGCCAAGGGCCGGGTTCGATTCCTCACATGGGTACAATGTGTGAAACCCATTTCTCGTGTCCCCCGCCGGTGATATTGCTGGAATATTGCTAAAAGCGACGTAAAACTATACTCACTCACGTGTATACGGGAGGTCAGGCAGCCCAGTGGTTAAAGCGTTCACTCGTCACGCCAAGGACCGGGTTCGATTCCTCACATGGGTACAATGTGTGAAACCCATTTCTCGTGTCCCCCGCCGGTGATATTGCTGGAATATTGCTAAAAGCGACGTAAAACTATACTCAGTCACGTGTATACGGGAGGTCAGGTGCCAGGTACACCCCACAGACAGTATACCAGCGCTGAGCTGACAGCCCAGTCTTCTCCCCTTATACCGACCGCCTTGAGACAGGGTAACAACAACTACCACATTTTAACACTTTTAGTATGATGTGGCCAGGTGATACACCGCCGACCTTCCGCTGTCCGGACAGACGTTCTATCCAGTGTATCCACTACATCACGTATACGGTCTCCTTTTGTTAAGTCTAAAATGAGTTTAAAGAAACCTCTTGCTATCTGCGCAAGCGGTCGCGATGGTCTGATTTGACGGGCATGCAACATGTGACTGTTACGCCTTTCTCGAGTACCGAGGCATTTCGCGATACAGTGTAAGCCATTTGGTGATATATTCCATTTGGTTCAGGGCCGAGTTGCGCAAGGTTATCTTAGCGTTAAGGTGATCGTAACTCCCGTATGTTAACAAAGGCTTATTGCTAACATCGCTTTGTACAACGGGACCCTGTACCCTGGACCACATGGTTAGAATTGGTCTTCAGCAACCCATTGTGGAGGAATGGTGGTCAAACAGTTGAAGTGTTTGCTTGTCATGCAGGTTCAATTTCCCAAATCAGTAAAATGTGTTAAGCTCATCCTCTGTCATACTGAACCCGTGAAGATCCGGGTTAGAATTGATCTTCAGTAACCCATGCTTGTCGTAAGAGGCGACTAACGGGATCGGGCGGTCAGACTCGCTGACTTGGTTGTCATCGTCATCGTATCCCAAGAGTATAGACCGATGCTACCGACGTCAGTCACTGGATTGTCGAGTCCAGACTCGATTGTTTACAGACCGCCGCCATATAGCTGGAAGATTATTGAGTCCGACAGACGAGAACACCAAATACAGGAGTGAGTGAGTGAGTGAGTTGGGTTTTACGCCGCTTTTAGCAATGTTACAGCAATATCACGGCGGGGGACACCAGAAATGGGCGTCACACATTGTACCCATATGGGGAATTGAACCCGGGCCTTCGGCGTGACGAGCGAACGCTTTAACCACTAGGCTACCCCACCGCCCCCAAATACAGGAACCACCGTTCATTAAGATGAAGATAATATCGTGTATTTCGCGATAAACGGGTCACAAAAATCCCTGCTGTGATGAAACGTGAGATGTGTATCACACTTTCACATGTCCCCGACCCGATGGTGGTACTTTGTAACTTAAATGAACAAGAACTTTTTTAAACGCCAGTTTCTTTTGTGGGGATATCACATTCAGTCTAAACTAATGGCGTTTACCTTTCGAGGAGGTGTCAACGCTTGTAATTTGATACCACGTTACAAGACGCGTTGTCTTTGAGGGACCGTTTATAAATTATATACTAGGAGGTTGACGATGATTTTAATGGAGGAGCATGTACAATGTGGATTCACACACACACACACACACACACACACACACACACACACACACACACACACACACACACACACACCTAAATTTATGTGCAAAGTAAGTGAGCTCTGTTGTTGTCAGATGAATTTTGTTTAGTTATGATTATACGTATTAACAAGTGCGTAACTTTACGGACACAATCACTCAGTCATTATGTGGTTCTTGTATATACCGAAGATGTATGTTAAGTGATAGCTATTGTTGAAGTGTTTGTGTATGGGGTCCTAACCGCACAGATGTTTTATTGCAGATAAAGACTTAAGATGTGGTGACAACCGAAGCAGCTGGAGAAGGTACAAACAGGATATATAGATATGCACTTGTTTTTTTACCTGTCACAATAAGACATACCTACTTCATTAAAGCCACAAACCCACACCCCTCTCCCTTTAACCCTTTAAAAAAAGTTAAACCGTAATCCTGTCATATGTGATAACTAAGAGGTTTTTCCGAAAAGCTACCGTATCGACTGTTTCTAAAAATATGCTCGTGTTTCCATTATAGAATCAAACTAAAAACTTCGAATGAATTAATGCAACGTTGCCATTAATACGCACGAACTACGATATGAAATATTGCGACTCAAACTAGAAACGACAGCATCGAGGATTATTACTGCAACAACATTTCTATCTGTTTCAAATCATCGCCATTCGCTTTGCTTGGTTTAGCCAATAACTGCAGTAGTCGCTATAACCATGGATTGCAGGGAAGTGGCAACGAATCATTAGTCTGTTATTGCACTAATAGGATAATATTTAGGTATTTGCTGTCTCAATATCAACCCCACCTCCAGAAGAATGTGCAAATACTGTACGGTTGTGCCGTAAATGAATCAAGAGAGAAGTACCGAAAGTGAATATTAAAAAGACAACAACTACTACTTCGTTTTTATTTATAATGTTGTTTGAAAACTTGGTTATAGAAAAGTCGTCGAAGACCTCCTCGGCATCCAGCGCGTCTTCGTCTACGACCTCGGCTACCCCGGATCTTCGCCTAGGACCTCGGCTACCCCGGATCTTCGTCTAGGACCTCGGCTACCCCCGGATCTTCGTCTAGTACCTCGGCTACCCCGGATCTTCGTCTAGGACCTCGGCTACCCCGGATCTTCGTCTAGGACCACGGTTACCCCCGGATCTTCGTTTGGGACTTCGGCTACCCCGGATCTTCGTCTAGGACCACGGTTTCGTTTAGGACCCTACGGATCTTTTGTTTAGGACTTCCCCGGTTACCCCCGGATCTTCGTCTAGGACGTCGGACCTTGGTTACCCCCGGATCTTCGTTTAGGACCTCGGCTACCCCGGATCTTCGTTTAGGACTTCGGTTACACCCGGATCTTCGTCTAGGACCTCGGATACCCCCGGATCTTCGTCTAGGACCTCGGCAATCCCGGATCTTCGTTTAGGACGTCGGTTACCCCCGGATCTTCGTCTAGGACCTCGGCAATCCCCGGATCTTCGTCTAGGACCTCGGCAATCCCCGGATCTTCGTCTAGGACCTCGGTAACCCCCGAATCTTCGTCTAGACCTCGGCACTCAAGAGATCTTCGTGGACCCCCTGGTGCATAGACTTCTCTCGCTGGTGAGTATAATGTTAACTTAAATTAATATTGCACATCGCTTGATACACACACGTACTTTGAACATGCACACACGCATTATTTTCGCAGTTACATCAGCAACACAAACAACAACATCAACAGCAACATCGACAACAACGCCGGTAACAACAGTAACTAGCACATCAACGTTAACTTCAAGGATCCTGTGGGCGAGCTGTCTAAGGTGTCAGGCTGGTGATCCAGCGACCTTCAGGTGCCGGGATCGAGTCCACCTGTGACCCGGTGTAAAAAACCTTGGAGTCAACTGTTTGTGCTGACTTTTTCAGTGTTGTCACAACCCCTAGTGTACAGTACACAAACCTGTTCTCTTACAAGAACCCACGAATCCGTTGGTAAATGACCAGATGGTGGCCACATGAATACGTGCAAACACCTACAGCAACGTGCTGCACGTAAACTTGGACAAAGTACTGTGACTATGTGTCCCAGTCCACCCAGCTGTGAATGGATACTTCGTAAGGATGGGAAAGCCACCATTATCTTGGTGTGCCTAGTGATCCCCAGGGAGTTGAGATTGATAATACGAAGTGCCGCTGTGAGCAGCCAAGCCGGAACTCGGCGCTATGAAAATAGATTATTACTATAATAATAATAACATTTTATTTGTCCCAACATCGGATGACGATGACAGCTGAAATGAAATTGATATTATTGGTTACGTTAAAGAATAAAATTGAAAGTAGGAAAGGGGAAGTATAATTTCATTGCTTACCTTTGAAATGATTTGTTTAGGAGTGGGTCCGTTCTCAACTAGTTGATCAGAGATACTACAAATTGGCCTCGGGTCCACTTCTGTTTTCTTCTTCCGTGATAAATTTAAAATTATTCGTTCTAAATTATGGATTTTTTCTTCTCTTGTTTTAGATTTTTCTTGCTCCTTCGACTGAACAATTTTTTGCCAAATGTGTAGTGATTTGTTTAGAGACATAATAGAGAATGAGACTTGTGTGCGGGTGTTGTATCTTATAACATGAAGAATGTCACGTGTAGATTACAGTACCGGGATTGCCATGAAGCGTCCGATATTAGAATACGATAAACAAAGTCATTGTGATGCATTTAGGTA